ATCTTTCATGTATTATATTTGATATTTGTAAGTATTCTTCATTGATATTTTAATATTAAAAAGATCAAAATATTTTTGCTTTTTGACACAAATAAAATACACTTTCATTGCAAGAAAATAACCAATACAAAGTTTGACCAAGATAAGATTAACAAAGACTAACCTAGCTACTACCTACTACAAGTGACTCAATAAATTAATGTTACAACTCTCCTTTAGGTAACTACTATATCTTAAATCTGAATATTATTTAGTAACCAACTAATATTTCTACTTTGTCTTTTGCATAGCAGACTATTATTTTTCCACCTTATCTCCAAGTCTTTATATTAGATATTGCCACCATTCTTGGAGGTTTTCTATATGACCTTCATCCAAGCTATCCTAACATACCTTTTCTGTCTTTTCTAAAATCATGCTATTAATTTTTCCATGGACTACTTGGTCTTATTCAAGACTTTGTTGTTTCATTCTAACCATAGTTCTTATATGGTCAATTTGTGTAGTACTAACTAGATGACTTGAAATTAGCCAAATTGCTTTGAGATTTTCTAAGTGAAGATATAGTAAATCTAATCCAATAAGAAATGTGATGTTAAATCTTGTGGCTTTTGTTATATGCTATATAGGACCTTTAAGCTCCATTTCCATACTCTACAAGCTTATGGGCATATCCAAAATTTGTATATAATCAACTCTATGGTGCCAAGGTAGAATAGGCATAAAATTTGTAGATTTGGACATACTAATCAAACTTAGATCTTTGATTTGTCTGTAGAAATATAGGATTAAATATGTTTTTATTACTTTTGATATCTTCACCACACAAACTTTCCGGAAGATGCCTACTAGATACTCTTTTCTAGCCTCTTCTTCTTCTAAAGCTTTCTTCAAAGAGATGATCAAAAGATTATATATGTGTGTGTGTGTGTGTGTGTGTGTCTGTGTGTGTGTGTATGTATGTGCTTGAGTAAATAAAAGCATATTAAAATATATTTTCTTGTCAAAGAATTAAATTTTTAAAAAAAATGAATTCAATTTTTTTAAGAATATTTATTATATTATTAGAATATATATATATATAGTATGATTTTATTTAGCAATGTATTAGTTAGAAAGTCTTTCAAAATAACAAAAAAAATTAATGCATTATTATTTTGAAAAAATGAATTTTTCAAGAATTTTCTCTATCATAGAATATTTAGAACACATACAAATAATTATAACATGTACACAGTTTCAAGAAAAAATAGTATCATCTGAGATTTCGAATTCAATTTGGTTCAATTCATCCATTGTTTCTCAGTTTTGAAATTTTTAGATGTCTCCTTTATTACAAAATTGTGATGTCAAATTGTGACAAATAAAATGCCAAAGACTATGAGATCTGCAAGACTTTATACTGACATAAGCTGTATAGACTACCTGATCAACTTCACAAAGCATCAACAAATGCTTAGTGGATCTTCAGACTTACTTTGTAGAATTTTGAAAGACTTGGTTCAAGTAAGTGCTAAATTAACTCCCCCAGTATTATCAATTCATCTCCTTTGCCGAAATATTCATAAAACTCAAATCCTTCATTAAAACAACGATAACACAATAGCGATCACGGTGGGACTCGAACCCACAGTCTCCCGCTCCGGAGGCGAGCGCCTTATCCATTAGGCCACGCGACCATGTCAGCTGCGCTATCATTTTTCGCAACACAATATATATCAAGATCTCCTTCTCCGACTCATGGTTAACTCAACCCTTCCACACATTATCCATGTCAATAACTTTACTGTAGGCTCCAATAAAGTTACAGAAATGCGTACATTAAACAGGAGGTAAACTCAAGTTTACATTGTGCCGTCGGTGACCAAGAAGCCGCCATGCGCACAAAGGATCAACAACCTCCAAAGAACCAAATGGATGTAAACCGAGATTCCATTGTCAACAAGTGGATGTGGGTGTCCAGTGTTCATCATAGACATCAACACTTCACGATGGAATCGCACGATGACCTCCGACACAGTCCAACATGCGGCCACGTCGACGAGATTTCGGAAATGCTAAAAGGGAGAGCATCCACGATCGAGTGTGTCTACGCCATTTGCTTTCACTAAACTATACCACAAAAAATAGTAAAGGTGAGAGTTTTTCTTCACTTGCTGACCATTTGTCGGTAGGACGGTGGGTGAATGCACAGTTGACTCTGGTCACCTCGGAAGGTGCAATAAACGTCGGTGGCATCCTCAAACAGCGCCGACTCCATTATTCCAGTCCCAAAACTGAGGGAAGCTGATGGATATCTTTTCGGGTTCCGCATGACCTAATAACGTGCTGTGCAACCCAGTTTCAGGCTTTCGCGAACGCATCGAGAGGGCCGTGGCGGTCTCTAGCGATGGCAGGAAATCTACCTTGGATATCCATTCCCACAGACACTGAAGGAGTCGGCCAGGTGACCCTGCAGTCGATATTCTTTCTCTGAACGAGGATCATCCCTCCTGCATTCCGGTCGGACTGACATGCATCGTCGCGTTAAATAGTCTCTTGGCCTCGTAATCTACGACGCGGTAAAACTGGAACTTTGTCAAATTGGAACGTTGCATGCCACTGATTGTAAACTGGACAGCTGTGGTTCAACTGATTCCAAAGTTGGAGGGGTCGGGTTCACGACAGAATCTTTGGGTGTAAAACATGCATATAATGCATGCAATTGCACCGGTTGTTTGCGGGAATTTCGTAAACCGCCAGAATAAACCATAACAATTTTTGTGATGTGAAACATGGATGTTGTGAGCAACAATGTGCTAAGATACAGTTCGAGACCTAGAAAGCACTTGCCCCCAAATTTACCCTGCCAGACCGTGACAATCAGTTAAGACATGGGGGACAACATTTTTTTTATGGCCATAATTGAAAAGGAAACAGTATATATCATTCAGATCGGGGAAGTTGTCTCGCTAGGACCACCAAGGACACCCAAATTCGTGGGTTGAACTTACAAACATGGATCTAATCACAATTATTGAACATTTGTAGGAACTGGGGGGCGGATCTAGATGCAGTATTTTAAGGTGGTATACAACATGGATCTTCTTACAGCTGGAGAGACAGAGAACATAATTTAGAAATGAATTCCGAGTTGCCAAAGCTACAGTTGAAACCATGGGTCCCGAAATCTACTAGCAACATACAGCAATCAAAATGCACCATACTAATGAACCAATTAATGGTTCATTACACCCTGCATGCCCAGCACCACATCGAACCAATGAAATATCAACTCAGGACCAACAAAATGTTATAAATAATAAATGTGGAAAGCTAGCTGTAGGAATAAGCTCTACATTCCGCAAAGAATAACCTTACCTAATTTAAAGACCTTATGCTGTTAAACTTCACTTACTAGATCTTCACAATATAAATATACCTAGACACGGTGTTTCTGGCAGGTGTGCGACAAGCAAGAGCGCGAAAGTTATCCCATGCAGGCTTTTTTAATATTATAATTTCTCTAAATGAACCGAAGTCAACAAGGACCTAAAAACCTTCGTTTGTAGTCCAACGGTCAGGATAATTGCCTTCCGAGCAATGAACCTGGGTTTGACTCCCTGCAAATGCAGATTTTATCTACAGTAGCTCAACACGTGGTGCCAATTCAGTTTTGCACAATTACCCTTACGTTTGAAAGAATTCATTTACCATGCTTAGATGTGGAGTAAGAGAATGTGCATTCTATCGTAGGTGTTGATTCTACGGCATGGCTATGTCATACTACAAAATAGCTTCTAATCCATAAAATTAGTAAGATTAGTGTCAATGATTTGTCATCTTTTTCTTAGTGCTTGTAGTTCATGAAACATGCGTTTTTGCAAGGCTGGGTGAGGTTTTTTGCAAAACAATTCCATTTTTCCTTGATTTTTCAATGAAATATTAAGAGTTGTATATTTAATAGCAAAACATATGCGTAAATACTTTTGTTAGTGGCTTAGAGTCATACTTATTTGACAAATCCTCATTTCTTTTTTCAGTTTCTAACCATAAGCACTCACACCCTTACATCGTGTTTGCTACTCCACAACTCGGATCTTTTCAAGTTTTTCATCAACGTATCCAGGTTGCAAGACACTAATACCATTTTTTTTCTTTTCTTTCCTACCAACAAGGGAACTAAAATGTGCGGTGCTGAGTTGGCAGCGGAGGGAAAATTTGAGGGTACGTGTGCAGGGTTACCTGTGACCGAGGTACCAAAAGCCCTAATTCTGGGGTATTCTTGAGGAAGTGGAATACCAGCTTGAGGACAAATAGGCAACAACCCTAAATTCATGACACTAGAAGTCTACAGGCAAGTATCCAAAGAGACAAAGAGAAAAAAGAGAGAGCTTGCAATAAAGCAGTAGAGATAACATTCTTCCTCCTCTGAATGGCTGCAAATTAATGGCTCATTTTTCTGAATCCAGACCTGGAAACGTGGCCATGTTGGTAAGACGGTAGACAGATTGGGTGACTCATCCGGGCACTGTTATAGGCCCACACTACCCATTTGGGCCTTTTTGAGTGGCATTTTGAATGCTTCGCAGGCCTAGCAGCTAGCATTCTATCCAGGTAATTGATTTCTATCCTGGACCTGTGTTTCATGTTTAAAAGCTCAGTGGAGTGTGCTAGCATCTTCAATGGCTTTCCAGTGGCGTCGCAGACAAGGATTGGTCTGATACTCGATAGGACTTGTTCACAACTTGTCCGGTCTGCACGACAAGGACTGCGGCCAAAAAATTCCCCTCATCATCCAGTTACGAAGAATCATAACAGGAAAAAAAAAAAAAAAAAAAAAAAAAAAGTAATCTCCAACAACGGTCTGGCAGGGCAAGCTGTCGGGTAAATTGACAACACAAGCTTCTTTCACAGAATGTGCCGTAATTGCGCTGAAATAGCAACCTGTATGGAATCGTTTAAATCAGAAGGTCTGATAACAATCAGACGAGCGATGATGCAGCAGAAAATATGACAGATTTCGGAGGCAAGTCGAGTTTTAAGATAATATGGTTAAATCACCAAAGTCTGGTATGTACAATGGAAATGGTTCTGTTGCGCGCCCCCCTAAAAAGGACAACGTCTCGAATGAATTTTTACAGCTGCACCTCCGGAGGAATCCCCCGAGTCCTAATTACTCTAGCTGTCTTACTGTACAGAGGCTCCTTGAGCTTAAAAGAATTGGGTGTCGAAGCTGTACAGCGAGCTGGTTCTGGGGGAAGATTCCTAGTTTCTACAGCTCAAGGAGCTTGCAATGGCCACATGATATAAGTATCTCCTCCTCGGACAATTGAATCTTGGTCCGCTGCAATGCTCCGTTTCACCGGTCGGGAAGACCAACTATAATTGAGATTGTTTCAACACCAAATTATGCGATGGCCGTAGAACGCCAGTTCATACTCGTGAGCCCATAAATGAATCGTTCTGATGTTCGGAAAAGTCCACCAAGCGACAGTTTCGAGCTTGAAAGCTCGGGTTCCTGTCGGGGTACTCCCTTCACTTGCAGTATTGCGTGACCGATCGATTTGCGCATGGCTTCTACAACTTTCATATCTACAGTACAGCCAGATGCGTCCACCACATAAAAAACATTCACGGCCTTGTCATCTCGTGTTGTCACGTCTGCACGGGCAACTGAAAGCCCATTCTCTCGGAATATCTTGGTAACGTCAGACAAGAGTCCTACCCGGTCATTCATGCAGAGCTCCAACCTCAGACCCTGCACTCGCGATTATCAGAAAACCACTCGATATGAGCCAACAAGCAAGTTACAAGGGCCAGAAGAAAGAATATGAAAGTAACAGGAAGTAATGAACTAATGTACCTCAACACTGAACATATCAACTTTTAAAAACTTTTAAGGAACCTGGAAGAGTCTGTACCTCGGTAGTCCTTCGGTTGATAGCAGCTTCAAGACAAACCTTCAGGTGTTGCTCAGCAGCAGTATCAAGAACACACCCATTTTCATGGCGAATGAAGAACTCCTGGAGAACACAAAAAGATACGAAGGTCAGCAACCAATCTGGCGATCCGCATCAGTAATCGAACACTCCGTTCAAGCAAGAGTACACGTGCTATGAAGCTCACCTGAGTCGTTTCAGGACCTGGGGAGTTGATCAAAGCGTGATGAATCACGTACTGCATGTCTGTCAAAGTGCAGACAATGTCGAATAAGAGCTTCGGTCGGTCTTTGCATTGAATACTAACCATGGAGTATCCACGCTCACTCTTCTTAATTTGAATCTTCGGCCTACCCTGTGAATTTCTGTCACAATCCTGCTCTCCGTGTAGTCTGTCCTCGTACATCAGCTGGTGGAGCCGCCTTTCTACATGTGTAATTTCTGAAGCATACTCTATCTTGCATCTAGCATGTTGTTCGTCATGGTCACCTTTCAGCACTCTGGATAACTGCTCCTTAATAAGTTCTAGCAGCGACTGGCTCTCTATAGGGCCACCCGTATTTGTATTAGTAAAGTATATCACACAAGCAACCCTGTGATTATGCGTCCACACTTCAGCCGCATTCACGTTGCATTCCATACTCGTGAGAACTGCAGATATTTCTGATAGAAGCCCGGGTCTGTCGGGACCAGTTAACTCAACCACTGTATGGTCAGCAGTGGTCAACCCTGAAGAACGACGCAGCAAATCGGCAGAAGACTGCTCTCTTTTAGTCCTATACCCAAGTGACTGCAATACAAAAAGCCAGATCCAGAGTTGGTGAAATTCAAAAGAGCAGAGGATAGAGTGAGTTGTGGGAAACGAGAGATTAAATTTAAGGACATATAAACACAGTTGAGTAGGAATAGAATGACCCCCACATACCTTCTGGATGTAGTCCAATACAGATTGGTCTCGAACTTTGTTGCCGCTGTCGTCCACAACATGAAATACTGCAATGGCACAAGGTTATATCAGCGCGCAGAGAGCGACATTGAAGTTCACAGAAACAGCCCAAACAGAAGGTCAAGGCTTTCTGTCACAATATTCAGGTAAGGTAGAAACTCACCATCCAAAAACCACCCGCCATCGGAAAACATGTCGGATTTTGTAATCACCAAGTCGAGATCAGTAAGCACTTGTACAACGTTCAAAAGTATGCCATGTCGGTTGGCGCTGTGAACCTGCACAACCGTGGCATTCTCATACGCCTCGTTTTCGATTGTCACCCTGTAAATTCAAATGTACGCGAGCCCAGTTCAGTGGAAGTTTCTGGCGGGAAAAACCAGTAAAGCTCGGACAGAAGGCAGAGAACCACTTCACTCACTTCAGACGTGTAGGGAGTAGTAAACTATAACCAACTATACCTTGGTGGGTTGAAACTGGAGGAAGTGGTCTCGTAATCGGGATCGAAATAAGGCCACCTCTGGTTTTCCATGGCCATTAGGAGCTGGTACTTGTTAATATGAAAACCCAAAGCAGAGGGAACACAAACAGCCGAAATGCAAGTTGTAGCTCGAAAAATTCCCCAAGGGGAAAACTATACTGGAACACGCTGCATCGTGTATTTTTCCTTGAAGATCATATCCAAATGAATTTGATAGCGCTGCAACACAAAACATGGACGATCAGACTCACGAGGAAAAGAGCAGTGCAAGAGTGAATGTGGAGAACCTGTCCGAAGAGTATGCGTGGAAAGTGGGAAGTTAGTGCTTTCGATTATGTTCAAACACCTCCTTACTCACTCTAGAAGACGAGCGCAAATCAACACTGCGAATAAGTGGATAACAGCGGTCCAAGAGCATTGTAGTGACACTATTCAGGAGGGGAGGTTCTGGGTGTTCCATTTCTGCTACCTGACAGACACGTTTTCCTTTCCTCAGGAACTTTCACACCATACGCTCCATTCAGCAATCATACAGCAACGCACTGTAGCTTCTATTAGGAACAGTGGAGCTGTAAGGTAACTAACCAGCGAGTCCCTAGGGCTAAGGATTCAAACATGGGCGGGTAAGACACATACGAGAAACCTCTCCAAACCGAAACGTTCCGAATTTCGCCAATCATTTCCAGCGAGACGGTAACTTTCCCTTTTCAAAACTATCAAGAGAGATTCAACACTTGTACAAAGTGGATACCACTCCGCTTACCACACGCACCGAGTCGAGACATGTACACACAATTCTATGTTCTTGCAAGACCTCTCCCCAAGATCTCCACTAAGTTTCTTGCACCGAAGGCAATTTCCCAAATCGGCCGTTTTCAAAAGAACTCCACAAAACTCACCACCACTGTATTCCTACACTGCAGGTTCCCCTTCAGTCGATCTAACAACGCGGGAAAACCACCTCTGTATACACCAACCATTACCACACTCACTCAACTCCCAATACCTTAATATTCCTCTGCCAGTTCACCGCACTCCTCGATCAACCAAAAAATCACCACGTAGGCTCGCCACGGATTAATCCCCTTTCCTCCCTCGCACGACTCTAAATTATCAGAGCCGATCGCACGCATCACAAAACTGTAAACGCGCACACTACTTCACTCCCAAACCTATCCTTCCATCCTTCTCCTCTCCGATGCCCCCTGCATACACCAATCCTCGTCCCTCTATCTTCCTGGCAGGCGGTTCTGAAGGCACAGACGCTTCATAGTTCCCGATTACTAAATCTAGAGCTCCTTACAAACAGACGTAGCACCATGACCGAGAGACAACAAGAGAGTGTAATGAGGCCACGGGATGGTACTCATACCAAGACCAAGTGCGGATTTGAATTATTGTTCACTCGTATTGTGGTTGTTGTTGTTGTTGTGTTTTGTTTTTCCTTTGGAGGAGAGACAGCGAGAAGAGAGGGGGAAAGTGGCAGACTGATCGGTGTCCGCGCAGGGAAGAAGACCGCTGAGCAGTAGAAGGAAAAGCGACTGCTGCTAGGAGGGAGAGGAGGAGGAGGAGGGAATGCTGTCGCGAAGAGCTGAGAATGAATTGCAAAGAGAATACTGTGTGGGTTTGGAAATACTGCGGCCCAGACACGGTCCGAGGGAAAATAAAAAGATGACGCAACCCCCGCACAACCGTGGCACACGGATTTGGGACCCTGAAGCCATGCTCTTGGGGCTCTCTCTCAGAGTCTCTCCAGCTAGGGACGCAGTCTTAGGGCTGACTGGGAGACAAATTCGCAGACACACTCTGGGTCCTTGTCTCCTGGGAATTCCTACTGCCAGGGCTGTTCTGGTATTACGTGTGAACGTGAACGCCAGATGTTCGGTCTTGGATCCACATTAAGAAGTAGTAGTCATGTAACCGAAGCTGGGTGTGTGTGGAGGTAAGGAAACCTCGGCCTCCAAACAAACAAACAAATAAAAACATCAGAATCTACGAGGATTATTTGTTTCAGTATTGTTCAAGTTTCCCATTACTCTTTGTTGGCCTGAGTCCGTTCATGTTCGCGGGCAAATATTATTAAACAATTTACTGTGTGCATTGATGATTGGGGCTCGGTAACTTAACATGCATGACAGGAAGGGAGCATGAAATGAATGTGCCTGTCAAGGGTTTAGATAATGGTTTATAAAATTGGTTTTTGGGACAGGGAACGCATGCAAATTTGGCGTTCCCCTTAGCCCGGAATCTGAACACTCGGATTTTGTGCCGGGTCAATTAGTCAGGTCATCTTTCATTTTCTTTCGGTTAGAGTCAAAAACTATGGTTGTGAAATACATTCCACTCTGACTTTAATTTCCGTTCTGTCCAATGGATTAGAGAACGCCCCCACTAAAACTCGGTGAAATTATTTTGAAACTTCCCCAACTGTCGGATGCCAACTGTGTTAGGTTAGAGCTCAATTGACCTCTCCACCACGAGGTGTTTTCCTCTCAAAAAATGACAACCATGCTCAAGTTCCCATTACCCCAAATTCTGTCACTTAGATTCACTTTTGTTTTTTATTTTTATTTTCTTAATACTGCTGTTCGATGGAGACCCTTGGGGAAAACTACTATTTGGCGGAAGCATATAGAAGGCCATTGTCCGAAAACCGCTATTTTAGTTGCAGCAGCCCGATCTGAAAACTACGGTGCGACAGAAGCAAGTGGAAGGACATGAAGGTGCTTCAACACGCATCAATGGATGAACGATAGCATCTATCCAACTGCAGCTATGAGCTGCAAACGAGGCAAATTGGTAGCCCCTGGCCAATGTGAAGGCTTCCAGACACAGATGGAGGGGGGGGGGGGATAACAAACCCAAATGGATTCAAACAGACTTCACATGTGGGTACTACCAAAATGGAGGCTCAACTTGAGCCCCCAGTACTCCGTTCGATTTGGCCAAGACCTCCGCCCATGATTCCAAAATCGAGACATCTGTTCCCTCATTGTTGCCCTCTTCATGAAAAAAAATTAATAAATCAAATCTAACCGTCCCCACAGTCCATGATGGTGATGAAAAAAAAAATACAGGGCGGTGGAAGGAGGCACGAAGGAGGGATCGTGACAGGACGATTCCGTCCGTCCATCCATTCATTCATAGCCTCCACGGCATGATGCGAAGCGGGGGCGGATTCCAAGCGGAACATGCGTGGTGAGTGCTCAACGAGTGTGCACACAGGCAGCTGAGGAGTAGGATCCCTCTGTAGGACTGGCCACCGAGTGAAGGCGGGGAGCAGTAGCGCCGCTCTCCTCCGGCACCATAATACATAAGTTATTCCGGCTTGTGGATTGCACGGGAGCTTAACTTCGCCACATGATATGGATGAATAAATTATTCCCGCCAATTATTCATTTATTTACGGATACTTTCATCCATGTCGCGAGGTGCAGGAGGAAATGCCTTGAAGCCGACGGGAGAGGCTTTTGCTTTTTGTGTGATTTCTTAAAGTCTTTTCTTCCTTCTTTCTTTTTAGGGTTGACAATGATTGGGTTGGGAGTAGAGGGCGGTGGGTGTAGCTTGGGCTGTAGGGCACCATGGCTATTACCTGACAACACTCCCTTGGCTTCCACTTACTGTTCAGAACCCTTGATTTTAAATATCTCCCTCTATCTATCTATATATAGATATATATAATTTTTATTGACTCTAAGCTTGAGTTGTGAAATACATGCCAAAAATCAAGCTTTCTGAAAGGTTGACAATTGGAGTTTTGCAAATGAAGGAGGATAGCAGCATACACATGTCTCTAATTACTGAGGCATCATTCAATGACTAGCAAGTAAAGACACACTAAGTTTGTGGGTTTTATGCATACATGGCTCGCTTTAATGTTTTTCTTTTTCTTTTTCTTTGTTTCTATTGTGAACTCCAAGGTGATTTATGTTTACACCCATTTGAGTGGTCAAAGGGTGTGTTTTATTTCATGGTATGATTTCATTTTGATATTGGAGTGACTATCAGGCCAAAAATAGCATGAATGTGCATAATTGTGCTACCAAATTGTACACATCTACAGTCATATCTCATTCTTCAAACCCAATTTTTCCATCGCTTGAACTTGTAAATGTTTCTCCTCTCTTTGATTAACATTATTTTTCATGATGAATATTTAACTAAAACGGCATTAAGAACTGATGAGTATTGGAACCAGGTTGTTGAGTTTTGAAGAGGTCCCATTGCAATGTACCGAAACAGGGAACAAACACACCGTCCAAGTTTTCTGAGGCAAGGGGGGGGGTGGGGTGGGCCACCCTCCCCAAAGGATCTCCACCGTCCCCCACCCCCACACCCCAAAGGTGGGTCCAGTCCAATCCAAGGGCCCACATCCACTCTCCCCCGCTCTCGTTCTCCATCTAGTCCGAATTGGCACCCAGCACGTCAGCAACTGCCTGTCCAGATGGCGACATTCCATTGGCGATACCCATTCCTGCCATCTTGTTCGATCTTGTTGTGACGAAGGGGTACACACTTCCTTGTTTTGTGGAAGTTGTACACTCTGGTGCTGTCCTCGGTCTAATAAATAAATATTTATTTAAATCAACAAAATGAATGAATGAATGAATGAATTTTAGTAAAAAGAAAAAAAGAAGAAAAGGCACTGGTGTTCCTTAATTCCACTGCAAACGAATGTGAAGGAACTGTACTTGTTTGTAGACTTTTTGGTTTCCTGTTTTTTGTTTAAACGACTTAAATTTTGTAATACTCAAATAACTAGAGATCCTCTCTGAAAAAAATCAAAGTTCTCATCATAAAAAAGATCGTAAAGGAAAACATATCAAATATGGCAATGAGTTCTGATGAGGCAAAACTTGCGAAATGCTGCAAGCAATAACAGTGTTGTCCTCTTCAAACATGTATAAATATATATATATATATATATATATGGAAGAGAAAGTATAGAATGAGTGAGGGAGAGTGAGAGAGAATTGAAAAGGGGGAGAATAAGAGTAGAGAGTAAGGCATAACCTGATGCGCCTCACATCCATCCAACTTTAATCCCTCATTCATTCAGACCAGTTGGGTGCATTGCCCATCAAGAAAAGGTCTGCATCAATTGCTGATGAAAGCCAAACAATAAAAATTTAATTTAAATATCAAGAAAAAAATAACACTTTAAATGATAAAGAGGAGGAAGAGGAAAGGGAAATGGGGGACTGACTTGCTTGGCATCTGGTGGCCCTTTGCTCCCTTTAGAGAGACCATTCCCACCACTCCACACACAGTCAAGCTAATACCACCTCTCCCCAAACTTCACATTTCCAAACTCAACCTTGGTGGATTGTGCAGCAACCTTCTGTTATGGTGGTCCACAGTCTTGTGTGCCTTAAAGCCCTACAATGGACCTTGGGAAGTACAACTAATGGTATTCTCCATGAGGACTATTGGGTGTTAGTGATGGATGACAGAGGAGGATATGTGTTCTTGCATAATGTATCACTAAAGCCCTTGATTGTTATGAGTATTTTCTTTATATTTTTATATTTCTCATTTGATACTATGTGCATAGAATTATAACAGTTTGTTATAACAATGTTTAATATTTAGTTATGGAATTTTTATTACATTTTTTCTCTTTGTCTTTTTTGTTGTGGATGATGTTCTTCACAGAGGTTGTGTGAAGTACTTTGTGTGGCAAGTCACCTGAGACTCAAATAACATAACAAACAAGCTTTTTGTCTTGCAACTAGAATGAGTGTAGATAAAGACAAATATTTACACACACACACACACACACATATATATATATATATATAAATATAAGATGGGTTTTATTCAATTTTGACATGCACAAATTCTGATCTTGTACAAAACCAAGTGAGATAATCCATCTTGAGATTTGGTTTTGTACAAGATCAAATCTCAAAATTCCCAAATGTAGTAATATGTCCAGTAGGAATATATTAATTTTTGTTGGTTTTAGACTCCCATTGTTTTTTTTGTAGAATTTTAAAACATAAATTCTGCACACCCAAGTCAAAAATTATGGATAGTCTTTCTCATATATATATATATATATATATATGAAGTATATAATTTTAAAACTTTCTTTTATTACTTCAAATTCTGCAAGTTTTGGGAGTTGTATGTGATCAGCTCGTAGTATTTGTAAGAGTTAATAGAATTTGTTTTTAAATAATTCAGGAATGTTGTTCACACTCAGCTCTTGTTTAAAATCAATTCAATCCTGCTTTTCATTGTAATTCTTCAATATACATCAGAAGTGTGTGGTGCTACAAACATCTTGTGGCTTATGGAAGACAAATCTTGTGTAGGAGGCCCATCTTCAAAGTGGCAGTGACTTGCAGACACAAACACTGTGGTAGTGAGATATTTGTAAGTAGTTCAAAGATGGGGCAACATATATTTGTACAGGACAATAAGTTGGTCCATTGGTGGAATGAGGAACTACCAACAAGGTTGAAGTTGTATCATTGGTGTAGTAATTGTAATTGGCTGTTCACATTGGGTAGAAAAGCCCCATGCACATTCTTTAGAGTATTGATGAAGTCTTTGGCAACGTGCTTAATAATTCATTATTACATTGCAAAAGTTATATATACTGTTTATTAATATATATTTATTTATATGAAAAATCTATGTATGGTATATTTGGGTGTACTAGAGATGAAATTGAACTAAACTTAATAGTTTTTTTTCATTTATTGCATGAGAGAAGATAAAATAAAAATTGATTGGTTCATAAACATGGATTTGATGATTTGAAAAACATGTCAAGGAAAAATCTGAACAAATTTTGTAATTAACAGAACAAGCACTGACTGTTTTGCAAAGCAAGCATACAGATCATGTATACAACCATCAACTATTACTTTAACAAAAAGAAACTTGTGACCCAATATGGCTTTAAATATGATAGTAACAATATGTTGTTTGTATGGTACTAACAAACATGTAATTAATTCAAGTCCCCAATGGTCAAAGTCCCCAGAAATGTTGCTCTCTGCCTGGATCCATTTCTTTGTTTTGTAAAAGAAAGTCACCCTTTCCACACAAAAAAATATAATACACACATAGTATCATAAAAATAGTGTGCATGTAATTATAGAAGAGGTGGCTATATCAACAAAGCATGTTTTCAAGTCCTTACAAGACCTAAATAACAAGTGGAGAATAGTGTAGGATGTTCATATGATTCCTGTCTTTTCTTCAAACAAGTGCTAGTCCAACTCATGCTAAAGAATGACTTCACAGTTGCTCTGCAAAATTGCTTCTTTTACTACTATCTCAGTATTTTCTTCAGGATTTTAATTGCTGTGGAATATGACAACATACTCATTAACAATCCATTACAGACAACAAGATAAATCCAAATATCTACTGCAATCAGTTAATATATATGACAAGGTGCTTGTATGCTATTTATAGTGTTGTTTTATGGTATCCAGTTTGTGCATCTGACAATCAAAACTGACATTTAGTTTGTCAATTGCAGATTGTTTGAGAGCCCAAGATGCAAGATTACACACTTTTGAATTAAACAAACATCAATCATTGTAAGACACATCATCAATGTGTTGTGGAGACTAACAATCTTTGTTAACCTTGGGGTTGTGGGGGCTTCTAGATACCCTCTACAAACGCACCTCCCCCATTAAATGCTTGTAGGAATTTGTGCTAGAACCCTATCACAATTCCCACAACCCCAATCATTCCTCTGTCTTAAAACGGATTAAAAACAACCCAATTTTGTTTTCTAGAAGTAAAGGTCCCCTTAGAATAGTGCAGCCTCATTAAATGAATTTGCCAAAACTCCCAACTAACTTTCAAAAGTCAGAATTAGTGCGCTCCATTTAGATAAAATGGATGAAGGCTTAGGCTGTCCAGCGCCACCATATCGCTATAAAAGGATGAAAACTGAGTCGTCCATCTCGAGGAAAACAATAAAAACTTATTCATCCAAAAGTCGCGGTAACGCGGTGAGTGCCGCTACGAGAGTCGGCTCACCATGTGATGAAGACCGAAACCGTAATGGCAAGCGCGAACCCTAATTCTCTGGCTATGGATTAGTGGCCCAGCCTCGCTCGCTCGCGCCGCGGGTGGAGGAGACCAGGTATCTTATCTGGGGATGGGCCTCGGACCATGAAGGCGCAGGCGAGGGATCCACATGGTTGGACACCTCATGCTATCCAAAACACCGAGTGCGGGTTTGCCTTTTCAGTAGCATATTCGACAGAGGTGAAGTTTTCGATTCCTTTTTTCTTCTTGTATCAGCAGAATGTGCTTTTCGTCTATCCAGGATCTTTAGCGCCGGAATGAGGAGCTCCTACTGGGCTTTTCAATGCCCCCCCCCCCCCCGCGAGGCTCGCCACACAACTTGGATGACGTGAGGGCCTTATCCACACCAGGGAGTGGCCGCGCCGTGAGAGAGGCTGGCCCCGCTTCGATCATAACCCAGCGCAGCAGCAGCGCCGTGAGGTGCTGGCTTCCTTTTGGAGTGAGTTCGCCGCAGAAGAAAATGACGAAGAAGAAGGAAGAAGACGAAGCCAAACGACAGAGCTTTAGGGTTGCGTTGTCGCATTGTGCTTACAGGTGCTGGTCCTGAACTACTCCCTCTCTCCTGCTCATTTATGACTCTCTCTCACATTTAGGCCTCTCTGTTTTTTAATAGAAAAAAGCTTCTTTGTTGTGCATGTTTCTTCCTGTTCGTGGATGGTTTTGTTGCTTTTTCCGATGGTGTCAAAGGGTTGAGTTCTTTTTCACATAATTTTCATTTTAATGCCATTAATACTATTTGTATTATTATAACTATTGTTTGTTATTGTTGGCAGCCTTACTTTTGTGGTGAGCAAGTGTGGGCATTAGTTCACAACTTCGAACACTGTTTCTATTTATGTCTCTGTTTATTATTTTTTTTTCTCATTTCTTTTCTCTTTCGGTTTGTTTGTTTTGGCTTTATGGTTCTAACCACCTTCGTTCCAATACTAACTAACTTGCTTGGCTGTGCTGACCTGGAAGCTTGAGGAGGTCACATGGAATGGGATGATTTGGGCAAGTGACTTGGGTTTGGGGGACGCCAACAAAGCACCCACAATCATTGAACTATTGTTTTGCATGTGAAGGGGATTGATTGCACTCCAGCTACCTTTTGCTCTTTCATTCACCGAGAGAGATATATGTATATATATATATATATATATATTCATCTGAACTTAAAAACAAAGCAAAAAATTATGATTTCTTATCAATAACAAGACATGCAGAAAATTTATAGTTTATTAACCTTCCTCTGACACTTCCATCTTATGTTGAAGTTGTTTGTGTGCCCTACTGATGACATATTATGGTGCCTTTTCAAACCACACACAAGTGACACCTGCCTTGGGTCTCAAAGAACGACAATTTATCTAAGATCTTGTGGAAATAAAATGCATTGCTGCACTGCACATTTACAACTGAATTGAAGTTTTAATATAGATTTTTTTCTGGATTTTTTTTCTTTACCTATTTTTAGTAAGTAAACAATGTACAAATTATTTTAAGACTAAAGATTTAGGTGAAATCACATGCACTCTCATGTTGATATACATTTTTTATGTGGATTTGTAACTGATAGGGCATTGTTACATGAACATGACAAAGTTCTAGGTATAAATAGAGGTAGGGTCACAACAAGAACAAAAGCAAAAATTGAAAGAAAAAGAAAAAGCAAAAGAAGAGAAGAAATTGTTATATAAAATTCCAACTTGTTGTATAAATATAGATTGTCAGACACATCAAATGGAGTGTCATAAATCAATCATGAAGTGTACAATCTAAACCAAATACAAATGCACAATCAACACACTTTAAATAAATGATGGATAATCTAAACACCACTAAGTCAAGCTATCTCTTAAACCAAAAATGGAGAATCTAAGAGTGCAAATGTGTATAGAAAAAAATCCTAATAGCTTTACTAAAAGGTTGATTACCATAGCTAAGCAAAATATGACAACAAAGGATTTCTCTCTCTCAAACTCACTTACAAGATTTGACTTGACAAGAATGACAAAAAGGAATTTCTCCACCTAAGTCTTCAAACCTTAGTTGATACTAACAAAGTCAACTACCAGAAAAAACCAAGTGGATAAAAATACACTAATTAAACCAATTTACATACATCATGGATTTGGCACTTGATGCCACATCATGTGACAAACTTCACATTGTAAAACAAATAGTGGAAGCAAAATGAGGTCAAAAAATAAATTCAAAAAAATACATGTGAATGGATAACTTTCACATGATTCTTTGATTTTTTTTGTTTACTATGGTAAGACTTGATGACAATGGAAGTGTATGAGTGGGTATTTTATTTTTTTAACAATATATGTGTTCTTTGAATCAAACAATGTTCAAACCAAACAGTATTTAATCTCAATTATTGTAGATGTGTTATGTGTTGAGTTGATTTAATAGTTATGGTAATGCTCTGATTGTAGTTGTGACAACAACATTTGCAGGATTAGCTTTACAGGCAAAGTCATTCACATCAGAAGTGTTAGCTTATCTTGCTAGTAGGTGCATCATATAATAAACATATACCTTATAAATTACCCAGTAGAAGTCAAGTGTGCTGTTGAAAACTAATCACATGAAGTAAAATGAACATGTATCATGCATACATTTACAAAGTATAAACATTTGTGAAAACCCATCAAATAGTGCAATTACCTTTAAAGAGACAATGACATGGTTAAAAGTAACATTATATATAGCTAAAATTAATGTAATTTATTCTTTTTGACACCCTCCAAAATTTGGCAAGACTTCAAAAATTTATTCAAAAAGTTACGAAGAATGCAGAAAAATGAGAATGCCCACAACATTCGTTAATTTACTTTATTTATTCATGTATTTGAGGAATCACTGTAGACTCTTCATTCATGGTGTTGATTCAGTGGTTTGGTTTGGTTATGGAGCCACATGAGCAGAGGCACCCAAATTTAATTATTCGTTAAAATAACTACCAATGCAATTAACTCGAAGGGGGAGAAGATAGGATCGTAAAATCATTGGAGGGAACTGGGTCCTGATTAGCAAATCCCGCCCTTTTCAACCACCTCACCAAATAATCAGAAACTGTAGTTTTCCCTCCCAATCTGGAAGTTGAAGAAAACCATCATATATAGGTTCTTCCAGGCGGGAAAGTGAAAGAAAAAGGATTATTTGGCGGGAAGCAAAAAAGCGAGGGAAAAGCCTGGACGACGAGTCAGAATCGCTCCCTCCCAAAATGATGCGGGAGAGGGTGGAGCCAGCTGGGTTGTCCACGCTGTCAGAAAAATGTCCCTGTTGGCAAGAGTTGTCCTACTTGGCTTTACTTTGTCCCATTTGTTCCTTTTCTCTATCCTTCTGGATGTGTTCCACGCCTTCCTTGTTCTTTTTCTCAGTTACTCATATATGTATCAATTTATGTATTAATTTATGTACGTTTTGCATCCCCTTCCCCCATTCATTCATTCATTCATTCATTCAATCAATCCACCTTTTCACTTTGTGGTCCCCAATCAAACAACAACAACAGCAACATCCCCTGAAAGAGAGCTCATATTGGACAACTGCTGCTGGATTGTGCAGTGAAAAGCCTGGAATTAAGACAACAAGTCTTTTTTACTGTCCTTATGTCTCTGGCATCATATATATATATATATATATATATAAATTAAAACCCAAGGAGAGCACTCAATCAACGGCCCCCTGCCAGTTACTTTGCCCACCACAGGCCTTGAAAATGGATATTATATTTTTATGGTTGTAAGCTTCAAGGGAGGGGAAAGGGAAAGGAGTTGTACAACAACATGGTGTGCATAGTGGACCTCATGGAGGTTGAAAATGTGCTGCTGGCATAGTTTTGTTGAAGTAGCCCCAAAGCCATGTTGTGTGTCACAAGTTCTTTGCTGTTTTAGGGATAAGTGAGTTTGCAATAAAAGTTTTCCTTTTTCTTTTTCACGGGGTGGGGGATCGATCACACTCATTGTGCACTCTCGGAACCTCACTTTTGGCTATTTAATTAATTTTGAGTTGTAATTAAAATTATTGTTATGTAATAACTTTGTTTTAGATCATGTGATTGATAACTACTGTTATTAAGATATTGAGTCATTTCAAAAGGAACTTTAGTTTTTAATTATCTACACTAGGATTATATTACATTTCCTATGAAATCTTTTCATCGATGTCTATTAATTTCAAGTAATTGAGATAAAATTGAGTTGTTTAAATCAGTTATTTTCATATTTTTTTTTGAGCATATTTTTCTTCTAAAATTATGATGAATAATATCAAAGACAAACTTCAAGTAATTAAGACTATAGTTGTATAATGTTTATTTTATTTTATTGTAGTCTTAAGTAAAGCTTTAAATCTTCGAGGTTTCATATGATCTCAAAGTTTTATTGAGACTCAAAGATAATTTATATATATATATATATATATATATATATATAAATAGTAATAAATTGCAAGAACACAAGTTGTATAGTGTGCAAGTTTTAAATCAGGCAATGTGGCTAAGTGTGAGGTTTTAAATTTTAGAAGTAGGAGTAAGTAATTTTAGGAATCCAAATAAAGTACAGGTCAAAGGAATTTGTATCTTAATCTTGACTTATATTAATTGTATGGATAATAACCTTGTTTTTAAACAAAAAATATTATACACTACTTTAGAAACAATCTGTATTGCTTTGGTTTATGCATTTAATATTTGAAAATGAGAAAGTCAGTCATCAAGTGATTTAATTGATAAATTATTCAAATACAATTAGGGATTCTTAGTGGAAAATAAAACATGATTTAGACCATATATTTATCTTACAAATGTTTTTTTTACAAAGAATAAAATTCACATATGATAATTACCAAAAATATGTTTTAATTTGGAATATCATTAAAAAGTAGAGTAAAGTTTTCTTGAAACAATATGGATGATGATACAAGGATCTTAAAATATTTAATTTATTACATACAAGAAATGATAAAATTTCAAGGAAATAAACAACTATAAAAATGTGTCTATTTATAAAAGTTTACTTTTATAACGTTTTTAAAAGTCTAATTTATTGTAAAATACAATACATGCTTTCTTACACATTTCAAATGATTGATATTTTTCTACTAAAGCATTTGCAAAAGTCAGATTTATAATTCAATGAGCTATAAATAGGAAGTGAAGAAACATTTTCTTCATAAATAGTTTACATAAATAAATATATCAATATATGTCTATTTATAATACATATATATATATATATATATATTTTAATGATGAAATTTATAGTAATAATTAAGTATTTTTTTAATACTAAATTAAAAAAATAAAATTATTCTTTAAAAGAATATTTTAATTCTACTTCCAAGATGAAAACTTTCAAACATGAGTCAAATATTTATTTTTATTTTTTTTGAATAAATAATTATATTAATTTTTTATTTTAGTTGTTTAATTTAATTGAATTTTTTCTAATTTTTCAAAAATTAATAAAATTCTTTGTAAATAAAAGAAAAATGAAAAAACAAAAATGAAGATTTATTTTTGTAAAAAATACATGAATTAATAGAAATAATAATATTTTAAGTTTCTGGATACTTTAGATCTTAGTTTTGTTTGTATTGGATGGGCTTTGTATACATACTACAAAGCAATGACTACATTGCCGTCTTAAAAGCCTATGTACTTCAATATATATATATATATATATATATGTACCAATTATTGCATAACAAAGTCGATTTTGTTTTATTTATTAGAAAGATGATTGTTGAGTACTAAATGAATCTTATTAGATAATAAAAATCTTTGTTATAGATTTGTTATTACTACAATTTTAATGTTCATGATAATACTTTAAGATTGATGAATTTAAATTATTAACCTCTTTTTATTTATTTTAATCTATATGAGTAATTAACTATCTTTTTAAAAATTGAATTAAAATTAATGAACTAATTATTAACATTACTTGCTAATCTTCTATTTTTTGGTTTTTAGTATTTAGTTTTTTAATTTAACTTTTCATATTGGATTAAACTATCAAATAGTTTTAATTAGTTCCATGCATAGATCTTAGTATTTTTAATAACACTATCTTTATTGTTTAGTGTAAGCAATCTATTTTTGTGACAATCTATCTTAATATGTTTTAAACAATGTTACAAATAAAATTTAAAATTTGAAATTAAAAAAGTATAACATTTGAAATAAACTTATTTGATTGCTACAAAACAAATCTTATTAAATTCTATGGAACAAAGTCGTATTTTTCATAAGACTTGGTCAATGCAAAATTATAAGTAGAACTTATAAAGATTGCAATAAGAGAGTCACCTTTTTAAAATTATAAATAACAAAAATATCTATTCTAAAAAAATGAATTAAATTTTAGATAATTAAAATTAAAGATAAGAACAAAAAATTAAAAATCTTAAGAAAATAAGTTAAAGATGCTAGTTGAGAACCATTTAGTAAAATATCTATAATGATTTTATCACAAAATTATCATTATGTCTATTAGTATAACAAGAAAGAGTAACTATTTTAGAAACTATCGCTAAAAAATTTAAAGTAATTTAACATTTCTAAGATTTAATTGTAAGACATCTTAAGTATGTTATATAAAACCATGCTAATAAAATCAATTGATTTCATTTTTTTGAAATGTCTTACTAAATAATTAATGTGCATTAAGTAATATATGTGTTTTCATATGATTTTGATTTTTTCTCCAAGTACAAATCTTTTCTTATTAAAATAATAAATATAATTTTTTGGATTTGAACCACATTGATAAATTGATATAATATGTATCCTTTTTTTTTTTTTTTTTTTTTTTTTTGTTTTTGTTTTTGTTTTTTTTTAAAAAATTTATCTATTTCAAATACAATGTCATGAAAACTGTCAATAGGAAAATGGAATGAAAGTAAGTACCTTTGCATATTACATGAACTAATAATCTCATCTCACACAATACTGAAAATTTGCTAAAGCGTATTTTACCATGGAAGTAAGTGATGTAGACAATCCAAGAGAAAAGAGGTATACATAATCAGAATTAGATCTAGTTTTGAGAAATTGCCAAATGATGGAAAACAGTACATATTGTGTAAGTGCACAAGAACATCAGGAACCAGGTCACTACCCATTTCCACACTGATTTCCATCCATTTAGTTATTTTCCAAGTGAACCCCTTTCAAACAACACATTAAACACGGAAACTCTTTCATCAGTCTATAGATTTCTGCTTCCACTTTTTCTTTCTTTTTCTGTCTGATGTTTTCTCTTCTTGGGTTGTATTTGAGCTGCAACTGGGTGTGAATTTTCGACACCCAAACACAGCCTCTGTTGCAGACACTCAAGCACAAAAGAAAAAAACACAAAGTGTCTGTCTGCTCTGCTCTGCTCTGTTCGGTTGTGTAGAACTGCAAAGCATAGGGAAGAAAGGCTGAGTGTTTTGCAGTCTAGGTCCCATACATAGCTGAGGAAGGAAGTGCAGGAAGAGCAAGAGCAGAGAAATCAGTTAGTGAGAGAAAGCAGAGAAAGCAGAGAAAGCGAGGGTGGTGGTGGTGGTGGTTATGGTGCTCAACTTGGCCTTGTTGGCTGTGCTTATGTACGTCATGATCTGCAGCAGGAACATGGACCAACTCCTGTTTCAGCTAGCAAAAGGGCAGCAGCAGCAGCAGCAGCACTGACGAGCATCAAAGCAGAGCAGAGTAGAAGAGGGCATGAGGATTACATGGGGTATGACAGATAAGAGAACTGACTTTCGATTGCACCTGGGCGATGGATGACTAGCACGCGCTCTGATCAGCCTCATTTATAGCCCACTCTATGATGATCACCCATCACCACTACTACTGACTGACACACACACCCCTACTGCACAGAACAGAACAGCAAAGAACAGCACCGAATAGATCACTTCACATTCATATGTCATCACAATGATAACCATAATAGCCAACACTGGCTAAAGCAACTACACTGTGATCAGACCTCCTAAGACAACAGAAAAGAAAAGATAAAAGTGAAAAAATGATCTGGAATGAACCCCGAGACCTGCTCACCCTTGTGCTGCGTGCAAGTGGGAATGGCTTTTAGGTCGTTTTTATTTTATTTTATTTATTTGTTTATTGTAATTTATTTGTGAGGAGAATGAGTGCTGGTGTGTGAAGCAGAGGAGACCAGACGCTGATTCTTGTGACGCCTGGTGGTGTGCGCTTCTCGGATTTTGTCTCATCGATGCAACTCTGGATGCTGAAGAATTGACATGCAGTGCAGCATCTGTGGCCAACCAGGTTTCGGTGGCATATGTGTTTGGTTGTGTCCGTTTTGAAACGGACTGTTTAGTCGCTGCAATGCATTAAAAATAGGTATAACAAACAACAACAAAAACAACTGGGTAGGATATTGTTTGTCAGAGAACGTCGTTGCAACAAAGCAGATTGTTGTAGATGTGGCGTGTCTCGAGAGAAGCGAACCGAAGAGGAAGGATTTGAGAGAAGTAGGTACATGGATTTTCTTATGCAGCTTCACTTGGCTTCGTTCTGGACACCTAAGCTAGGAGTTGTTTAAGATTACCACCAACTGCGTGTGAGTGTGGTACCTCTGCAAATTGAGTTTCTAGGTGAGTAATGAATTCCACCATAATTGGTTTGAAGTCGTAGCAATAGATACTTCAACTTCGTATAGTTGGTAGTAACACGATGTACAACGTAACAATCCGTGTAACATACGTTGTTATCACATGTAGACAGATTAAAGTGCACGAATTCAATGCTGCACTGGCACTGAGGAAAATCTGTCTGTTATAGCAAGACCCAGTTAGTGGTATTTATTTGTATCCCCATCATGGATGTTTGGTTGACTTGGGGTTTCTGGCATTCATCTGACACCACCCCCACAAAACCCCATGCGCATAAGACGACTGTATGTTTTGAAGCTTCCGATTTCTAGTCCAAAGTGAAGGGGTTTGGTCTGTCTCAGGGTAACCGCAGCGTGTGTCTCCTCTCCTTGTCTCAGCACACGCTCAAGTGTGCCTAGCATTATTCGTTCTAGCATCACCGTCTGGGCCTACAGAACTGTGTGTACCATAGTACTACTGCACCTAAAAGAATTCTGTCTGCAGGATTTCTGTCTGGGAATTCCGCATCATCTCACTGCAGCAGCATGAGATCATCACTTGGCATTTTCGATTTGACTAGGTGTGAGAAGACCAAGGTTGTCCCTTGGCTTAATTCCTGGTATTTTTCTTTCTCTCTCATGTCATCAGACCTGCACTTCTGTACTTGCTTACATGTGGACGAGGTGACTCAAGGAGTGCCTGCATCGATGGGGGAATGTAAGAATCCAAGCCTTGCGATCTTTTGATGACGTTTCATCAATAGAATGCTGAAGGCTTTGGCACACACAACTTGGTTGACTTGAGGAGACGATTGCAGTTTCTACAAATAACGATTGTTTCATGAACACTTGAATAAGTGAGGCACAGACCTTGAACCGAATGAATCTTCTCTGCGAATACTCACAACGGGAAATTGTTGTTTCCTCATGACAGGGAATGGCTATAGAGGGGGTATTATCCAACAAGCAATTGGCAACAACAATACAGGGGTGCATGTTCATTCATGGTCGATCAGAACGTGGTTGATGATTCTTTTGATCCACGAAGACTTTTCGCAGATTACTGAATTATGTGTTCAACTTCGTTCCACGAGCCTCGCCCCCAAGTACATTTGCATATGAACATGGAATGGAAAAGAGTGGAAGCTGAGTGGAAACAAAGTTGCAGTGAAAACTAAGAAAATATCAGAAACACAAATGGTGAGATAAGTCCATGTTAAATTACCAGGTCCACCATAACCAAATGGTTGACGTTGGTGGATACTATTACGTAACAACATTCCTCTTCTTCCACAAGGGGCGCAATTTAATTTAATTGGCATGCAATTGGAGGTGCACTACGACAGTTTTTTGAGTTTCCTGGCCTTCAACACATGCAGATTCTCGTAGGTTCACATTTTGACAGTCATGAGATTAGGATGTGTGGCTTGTGTCTCAATACCAGGCTAAGTGAACGGGGTTTACTTGATATCGCATGATTGGAAGACTTCAGTATGGCCCGGGTTTGGAAATGGGATGTAGTTACCAGACCTGAATCTCATATGAAACAATCTATGAAAACTCAAGGCATGACTGTCTTGCCTTCATTGTTCACCTCTCAAAATTAAGGAAACAATGTGTTCATTGAGCGAGAGTTTCAAGTTCACTTCGATAAATGGTCTAACTTAAGATTCCTGTGGTACTTCCCAACCACATAGGTTTTTGTCCTCGGCTTAAACATGACGTTACATGGCATAATCTACAACGTGCATGGAAAAAGAAACAAGACGCACGAATTGATCCGATTCAGGAGCTCTGAATGCAATTTTCAACCCAATTTCTTTTTAGGAAGGCAACAAGGGACAATTTGTTGACGTTGCAACATGCGATATCACAGCATAAAGTAACACTCGTAGGTAATTGTATGCCATGAGCAGTACCTACTCCACTTCCAAAGAAGTTACCACTTGCAAGGGGGATCTAAAATTGACTAAACTTAGTCAACGGCCAAGGTAACCAAACTTGAGGTGCGAAGTTATTTTTAGGATTGACAATCCCTGATATCAGGTGGGGCTCTTTTGAAAATGGGATCCTTGAATAGCTTAGCGTTAATCCAGCTCGTCAACCCATTGGATACGAACACTCTGATTCCTCTTTAAAGCATGTGTGTTCAGTACCCGGCCATTTTTTGTGCGGGCGGAGCAGATTGCTCGTAAGCTTGGCGGTTTGCAGCCCACCCTGAAAAGTTGGTAACAAACTTCATCACATTAGATACATAGGAATCGGTTAATTATTATTACTATTATTCTTATTGTTTTCAGGACTAAGTTAAGTTGATTTTCAGGTTAGGTTCTAGAATGTTAGAATACATGGCAGAAGTGGAAAAAGAGATGGTACCAAGATCAGCCTGGACGCCACGTGCCGCAAGCTCTCGATATTGCTGCGACAGTGAGCAGGGAAGACAACACCAGTCCACGCAGACATCACCGCATGGCTCTGGGGAGAGCCCATACTTTGCCCTCAGTCGTGCCCGGTACCCGCATGTGTACAGACATCCCATTCCGGTGCAGCTCTGAAGAAGACAATAAAGGCATCCAGCACTCGAACAAGCTGCCTCAACCACGGCGAGTTCTAATATCAACACTACGAGATGCAAATTGGTGATGACGATGATGATACAAAAAGCCACTGTGAGTAGCATGGAAAAATCATAGATATGGTGGAGAGGAGCTTCTCACATGTAATGCCTTGGTCAATAATCTCGACCAACTGGCCGACCACGACGCACGGGCAGCACCATGCACAGCAGCCTGCAACACACGATCAATCAGTTATCCAACAGACAATGAGGTTGTGAGTTGCAAAACGAGCATTAAGCAGCTTGTCAGAAAGTTGAATAAGACGCAAGATGAGTGGATCAGTAGCTGGTGACGACAACGTGTAGAAAGAGCCAAATGTCGAAGAGATCGGACTACGACTTTGCATGCATGGTGGGATCACAAAGCCTGAAAGACAAAATGCTCACAACACGACATCCGTTCATAACACAACGGATCCTCAGAATGTCCATAACAAAGCAGATCGGAGTATAAGGCTCGAGCTGCCTGACTAGTGTGGTGAGAAGGCTAGAATCGGGAGGGAAGACAATGTTGCAGAAACAATACTTACATGTGCCGCAGTCTTGGAAGCAATCACAAAGCCCGCTGCTCCATTGTTCGCTTCCGATGGGAGGATTTGAGCCCATTTTTTTTGATGCACCGTGAAGATCGTCCCTCTGCCTGATCCTTCCCGAACGAACTAGGCTAGTTTTGGTTAAGGGATCTCCGAGAAGCTATGAGAAGGTGAAGCTGCTGCAACAACAGAATTGTGATCGCAGGACGAGACCGCCGGCGAGTGAACTCGCTGGGTATAAATCGCCTGCAGTGGGGAGATCCTCCTGACACCGGGGAGCCGAAGTATGTGCGCGATGGAGGCGCGGGAGGAGATTTAAAAGCCGATAAGGGGGGTTGGTTTTTGGTTGGGGGCGGGGTTTTTGCGCAGCTGAGCTGTACCACCCTATCGTGACTTGAGCCGGAAATTGGCATCCGCGGTATCTCTCGAGTCTCATGACGACTTTTCTCCCTTTTCTTAAGATTCTAGCAGCTCAACGCCCGCACGCACGTCACGAAAGCATGGTAAAATCTTGTGCACTTAAACCCATGTGGCTATTTACAGTCCTCTCGGTGACGACTTTGCGAGCTGAGTTTTGAGGGTATATTTTAAACATTGCCTGTTCCATCTTTGTGGCTATGGTTCGACGTGGTTGAATGAAAAGATTACATTAAATTGTGGAACCCCATTCCTTTTCTCAGTCCATTCGCTCGCAGCCCACGTGGAGCTGACCGCGAAATGCGAGGTAAACCATCTGGAGATTGTTTTTTAAGTATTCGATGTCATGAGTGGTAGACGTAATCTTTTGGAATAAGAAGTGTTGTGACTCTCTCTACCTTCCGTCTCTTTGAATGGTACTCAAGCAAAGTAATTTTTAACACATAATAAAAGTTTGTTTTCGCTATCTATAACAATGAATTTAACTTGGTGTCAGGTATACAAAAAGCTCAGGCGGAGACAGATTCTCGGTTGTGAAATGCATGGAGTAGCGCCGGAGACTATTTTAGGGGGATCAGGGCCTCCGAATGAAACACGCGAAAGCCGAGAACACCCTCATGCAGTCGGAACAAATTCCATGGATTGAGTGATCATCTGCGGCTGCTTGTAAAAAATCTAATCGCACATGCACAATTCGCAACTTAACTTTGTCACTTCCTTGTCGAGTTTGACCGGAACGTCAATTGCAGATCGCCTTGCCTCTCTTGCTCAAGTACAAACACACATTACGTAACGTGGAGTTCGCAATGCAATAAACAGGCGGTGGACTTTTTGTTTTTGTGTTCCCCTTCAAGTACAAATTGTACCGAAACTAACAGGGTAAAGTGATTTCTTACGTGACATGAGAAAACGCTAAGTTTGTATTTTTATTGCTGGGTGCGTCTTTGCAGGATGAAAAGAAACTTTATGTTCCCTTCAGTACAAAGGTTTCAATCCAACCCAACGTGGATGAGCTCTACGGGAAAACAGGCGGTGGACTTTTTGTTTGTTTTATCTCCCTTCGGTACATTGGTTTAATAACAGTCTGTATTCGTTTGGGTGCTTGTTTGTCAGGAGAAAGGACGCATCTGTTTCGTAGGCGGGGCCGCGGATGCTTCATGGTGCTAAGTTTAGAACTCACCGAAGCTGTGATACCAGCCCATCTTCACGTCGAAGTGTGGGATTCAAGTGTAGTTTGGCTGGAAATAGCATCACGAGCATTTATTGTGAAATGCTTTCGGTCTATGCCAGGTGAGTGGGAATCTTGTTACTATATGGGAATGCCATAACGATTTGACTAATTTGTTCTCGATTAATTCAGTCAAAACGAGGGGCTCAGCTGGTGTCTGTTTTTCATGCGTGATTGTTATTGTAGAAACATGCGTGCGGCATGAGAGATGACAAAAATATGAAATAAGCTATTCAGGGCAAAGATTACGAAGCTCGTTTTCAGCGACATGTACAGCTTGAACTTATTAATGATGTGAAAGATGTCTGATGTTGCAACATATTTGCAGACAATCTGGCGCATTCTGAAAGAATTCCGCGAGGGACATCCGCTCAGACCCAAGCAGTTTTAGTTTGTTTTATTAAACTAATTTATTTTGCAAGTGACGTTCTCGTGGGCCTGAATCAAACTTGCAGAGCCCATTCTCAGCACCAATAATTGTATTCATGGTGGATAATACTGAATGTTGTGTGTTTGGTAGGAAGAAGCGTCAACAGCACTGATAAAACCTGCTGTCTACATGTGAAACTCCCATGGTACCCAAACCCGCATCAACGTATTTACCCAGCGATTTTCATGGCCCAATTTCACAAAGAGCTTGACACAACCTCAGGTGGCGGGAAGAGCTTGAAAGGCGAGGTCCGAGCAAGTTTCCGGGACAGAGCCACTACCCTGCAATGCCGTGAACGAAACGCTTAGTGACCTTCAGCGATATTTGCGGCATGAAACCCTGACTGCGCATGTGACGCACCCAAAAAACTGTATACAAGTGGGGAGATGGCTCAATAAAGTTGCAAACCTACAGGATTGTTTTTTTATTAACCCGCATGTGATTATTAAGATTGCGCACGCTCCACGACAGATATTTGTGCTGCTGTCCGGGTTGAACGGCAAGATCGGAGCATACATGCATAGCGAATGCGAAGAGCCAGGAGAAACATCCTAACCGCTCATCATAAGATGCTTTTGCCAACAGACAGTGCATAGTCCATGAGATCTTCGTTCTATTTTTAAGAAAACATCAAATTTGTCCCGGTGTCAGTAATAAAAACATACACGTTCACAAAAACGGAGGCATAATTTTTCTCATCCACATTAAATCGGTGGGGATTTATGTGGTGTCCTGCAAGATCGAATTGGGATGTGAGCAGAGACGAGGTAACGGCCATTTTAATGTTTGTGTAAGTTAGTACATTTCTTTACATTCAAACTCTCAAAACCATTTCGGTGCCTTACTGATGAGGAAACTACCAAACTTGCTACACCTAGAATAACTAGTAAAAAAAAGGTTGTAAAGTAAACATTGTTTGTGAGCAGCTACACATCAAAATCGAGTAACTGCGAGGGAAGACGTTTGGAAAATCATCTATTCGAACCCTTCTGCCCTCCAGACTTGCCACCTTTTTTCCCAAATGAACTCTTCTCCAGTTTGCCCGCTCTCCTCCACATTATGGACTCTTACAGCCTGAAAGACGAACAAAAATTGAGAGATTATTTTGTCTATACTTTTGAATGCAATGCTCCTACAACCAAAACTAGTAAATAACATCTTGCGTAATGCTATTTAAAAGAGAAAGAAAAAGAATAGAAACCGCTCTTCCCTAGGACTACCTGCTCATTGAAAAATCTCGGAAATGGCAAGAGCAATTCAACGCAAGTCTTAGACAAATTAGCTCTGCGATTCAGTATTATTAACACCTTCGGCTCAAACGAATGAAGTGAAGATCGAGCAAAACAATAACGGAATATCTGAACTTGTAAATTGGAATGCTCACCTTGTTAACATCAAGACCACTGAAATCATTTTCGGCTAATACTTTCTTCGTCACGTTAGTAATAAGCACTTTTTTCTTTGACTTCTCCATCAACCACTAGCAAAAACTGCACATCCACAATTAATCAACCTAAATTAGCGCGTTGTGACATCTTTCATCACCAGGTACCACACCTATTATACAGTTGGGAAGATCAACAGGTTTACGTTTCAATAGGACACGAATACTAGATTTCTTGGTTTTTGACTAATTAATCTTCATCAATAAAATAGGTTAGTCAACTTGAACTTAACCATTGTTAAGATGAGCCAATCTAATAATGTAAATCTAGCTCAAAATCTTCAAAACTAGTCACTGTTTGTACTTGGTGCTTAATTAAGTGCACTAAATGCATCCCATCTCTGTAATCTTGTTGAACCATAAAGGCCTTAACTTTAAGATCACAGTACCTTGCGGTGTTTGCCAAGTTTCTTTGAGGGCTTCTCTCCCGGCAGCTTTTTGTCAAACATGCCGATGCTTGCAGTAGCTGTACTCGTAAGTCCAGCAACATCGCCAAGATCGTTCCTGCTAAGACGTTGGCCTAGTTGTTTACTCCCTGTTATGGCTAACGAGGTAGCAGCTAGCTGCAGAGTGCTGTAACACAGGAAGTAATGAACTATCCGTCACAAAAACATAGCACTCCGACTAAAAATACAGGTGATCGAAACATTAATAAACGAACTTTACAAGCAATGAGACAACTCTGATGTGTTGGACAGCGCAATCCATTTTTTCTGTTATACCTGCAGCAATCTTCCCTACAGACACAATTTTTAGATGGACTCAGCGACCGAGGTTACATCTAGAAAATTGCAGACGCATTACATACCTAGGAAGTGCACCCTTGCTTCCTTGTTTAGCAGCCCTTCTCTAGCTGATTTTTCTCTTGTCTCGCTACTCGTTCTTTCTTACTTGTTTTTAAGTTTGCAAACGGATCCTCTCCGAATTCTGTGGAGAACAGCGCAACAATTCAATATTTGTAACAATTAAGTGATGACAATACATCTCTATAGTTCCTTAGCCAAGGTTTCACGAGATGGTGAATATGTGGAAGCTAATGAAGGCAACTACAGCTTGTCTACCTGCAAGACAAAGGTCATCATCAAGCATAACCCAGAAACCCCAAAAGCCTCAAATAAACGGCAGTGAGTGATGGACACACCAATTGGACACATCCTTCACAATCAACCATGAAGTGAGAGAAATGAGTACCTTCTCCTGCTTTAGCTTCAATAACAAGAATATCATTGTCATCGTTGACACGTTTGTATCCATGTCTTCACCTCCATTCATCTTGACCTTCATCGTACTCCAACTTACTCCGCTTTCGCTTCTTAATGCTTGTTTGCAATTGTTACCAATTCAATTTCGGTCATCACTTGGCAAAAGCAGCTAGTAGATATTGCACCTTTAAATCCAATTCATGGTAATCCATGAACAGCTCCATTGAGAAGAATGAGAAGAATATCCATGAGAAGAATATAGCGCCCAAAAATTATAAAAGAAAAATTCTTCAGGACATATTAGACCTGAAAGAAAACCCTACGAACGCAATCCTTGCATTTGGTAAAACACCAGAAACTCACCTTTAGATTGCGCAAACGCTTCCCACTTGGTCATAGGATGAGGTTGAGATAGCCACCCAAATCAAATTCAAAAGGAGAGACCAATTCTCAGGAAACGGTCAGAAATAACATCAGCAGAGAATCTCATGTAAAATTTCCCAGATCATCCAGGTCGGACACACGCTTGAGTACGCAACGATGGCCTAAATCGGCAGACACACCCTAGACAAAAGAAGCTCAACTTTGTTGCAAAGTTAGACGTACCGGCTTCTCTCTAGGGAGTTGGAGAGTAGGTTTCGGCAGCTTCACCAACCGCCCCGTCTTATCAAGAGTCAATGGCATATTGAAGAGCTGATCAACAAGAACTTGGACAAGCTCCCGTCCCAGTTCCTCACACTCTGCATCTTTGTCCTCCATAGTCTAGTCTTTGTCAATCTCTGGCTCAACAGCCAAATATTACTCGAGGCATCACACAAGAATCAAGGGAAATTCACACATATGTAGTGATAGACATACACACACTCACAATATCAAGGTGGTACAGCCAGAAAGTCGAACAGGATTGCGAGCGTGCACGACGACAAGGTTACCGAGGTCGACCTCATGCTCGCCTCCTGCACCCGAAGGTGTCTGAACGTCCATTTCCGTTGCCATGGCTGAGGCAACTGCAATGGTGTCGCTTATTGAATTCTTAGATGATTCACTCTCTACCTTCAGGACTATTCAGTTTTTAGGTTTTAAGAATCTACAAGGGGTTTAGGGCTTGGATGGAAGATGACCACTCCGAGCCATAATTCCCAGCCATAGCCACCATGGAATATAACTGGACAGTAATATTCCGCTTTTACACGTGTGCAACTGTTGGCACAATTGTTGGTGTCAACCAACCCAAGACAGGTCACACAACAATTCATGCAGGATTGACAATGGGTTCTTCGATTTTCGCGTGGAGATTGTTGGAATTGTTGGGTTGAGAGAGATGGGTTTTACGAATGTCGCCAGTATTTGCGCTTCTGCTTACCCTCGAATTGTGAGGGAGGTAAGGCATAGATTTCAGGGTGCGTAGAGAATTCAAGGTTGTCCAATTGCCGAGGTTCAAAAGCAGTCGGTGTGATTCATTTGCGCTTTTCGACATTCTTAGATGGAGAGATGCTGTTTGTGCTCTCGGATGCTGCTTCTGAACTACATTTAATGTGTGTGAGGTTCGAATTTTGTTGGGACAGGTGCAGTGGAGGTGCTGCAACGCAAGTAATATAAATCTCTCAGCAAGGGTAAACCATTCTCTGGTAATAATTCATTTCAATTTTGAACATGGTTTGAGATCCAAACAAGCAATTCCTCTCATTGTTATGTGCCAGTAATCTTTGTAGAAAATCACTATGAGCGATGAGGTCCTGATTGATGTGGCCATGGCAATGCAGCAGCGGCAATGGCAAGGAAAGCTCCACAATAGCACCATTCTGTCCTTGATTTTGCATCACTCTAAGGTGAAGGATTTACTGGGAATTTAAAATTTGAAAAGTTGATGATACTACTCAGTAATCAAGCATGACATTGTGAAGAATTGGTGTTCTTTTAAAGTATTGTCCCGTTGACCAAACTTTGATGGAGTGCATTTTTTCTCAGCTAAACGCGAGCAGATTAGCGCTCGTTTCGTCGTCCATTGATGCCCAATTGTTAACGACATGTTTTAAAGTGCGGACCACGACGGATGCGAGTGTAGGAGGAGGCGTGGAGGTTGTTGAAAGATGTAGATTATGGGGATCTGAGGGCAGTGGTCCAATTTTCTCGTTGGGGGTCGCACCGGATCTTGACCTACTCATTACTGGCAAGTACCAAGATGATGATTGATATTTAAAGGTTTTGCATTCAAACTTGATGCTCAAGCTGTGGCACACCGCACGCTCCACAATACCTACATGTTCAAGTTTTTATGCGGTGTTTGTAGGTCATGCGGAGAGGGAGTTAATGCTTTGGAGGCTAACTGACTGGACATCAATTCCTGGAGTTCCTTTGGGAGGTCATACAGGATGGGTGCGAACTCTTGCTATAGGCAAAAAAATCATAATAAGGTGAGATTGGAAGTATAATAGCGTACAAAGTCTCATAAGATATTCGTGTTGTTGAGATGAAGGTCTCAAAATCTGGCTGCTGCCTAGTTATCACACCAAAGGTTTATCGATCTGCCCAAATCTATATTTACTACTCTTCACACTCACTTGAGCTTGCTGCTACACAGTCTATATTACGCGGGTAGTAAACTTTATATTTTTAAATGAGAGAATATTGTCTTTAACTTCTTTTTTCTTTTTTCTTTTTTTTTGGTACTGTTCAGCGCAGCATGCAATTTCATTAAAGTGTGGGAGCTTCCTGACTTCTCAGACGCTACCGTGACCAACACCTCCAGTGTGGAGCATTTAGGCGATCTGCAACTATTCAAGGGTAAGGATAATCAACTAGCCATTGCCATTTTTTGGGTTCAAACCTGCAGTACTTTTCATTAACAATCCATGAGGAATATCACCACAGCATTTCTAGGAAGTTTTCACAATGTCTTTTTAGTTGTTTGAATCAGGTGACGTGCTTGCTGTGGCCATGGACGATGACTGCATCTATGCTGCCACCGTAGATGGGTAGGTCCATTCATTCTGTGAATATAACGTTGTGCTTCCTAATTATATTCTTGAGGTGCTTTAGCTTCGCTACTTATCTTATTTAGCCTTCTCAACAGAAAATTGAGTAGGATCTGAATTTTTTTGGGGGTATGACAGTACTTTACACATGTGGATAATTTCCTCAACTGTTAGGAAATTAACTATGAGATCTATTAACAAGGGTATCAGTGTCCAAGCCCATGAAGGTATGCCATCCAGTTCAATTACATTGCACTAAATTATTCACGGAGCATCTTTGCATAGTTGTATTTGGATACATCACTTCACTTAATACTTGGTGACTTTTTTAAAATATTAACAAGCTATTCTTTTAGAACCAAAAGAGCTTTTGCTTTGTAACATTGCAATATTGTTCATGGGGGAGGGATACTGGCATCAAGTAAATTGCAGGCAGAATCAATAGTGTACTGGTCCACAATGGTGTTGTCATAAGTGCTGGACACGACGGCTGTATACGGGTACTCAAACTCTCCTTCCATAACCTTCCAAAACATGATTGAACAGGCCTGATGGCTGGAATATGTATCCCCCAAATTTTGGTCACCCAATTACTATTCCGTATAGAAGTGGGGAGCTCACCATATTATCTATGACTGATTGTTCATACATCGATTTCTAGCCTCGGAGGATGGTAGAATTTTAGATTAATTATTAGCATGGAGGATTTCCTATCTTCCCTTAGGTGTGACGGCTACCATTTGCCACTAAATGGTGAATGTTTAACATAGGCAACTTCTGGAAAATGAGAATTTTCGTCACAAGAGGTTGGACACCTCAACTCAATATGGAGTTGCAATACTTTCTCGATCCATATGATGATTTCATATGGATCGAACTATATTTTACAGGTATGGTGCAAATTAACTCTGGAAATGAAGGCTGAAGTAAAAGCTGCACACGAAGGCTCATTGGTACATGCCTTAACAGCAACAAGCAATTTCCTCTTCAGTGGAGGGGCTGACCAGGTTAGTGGTCATCAAGAATCTTGCCTTTCTCAAAGGATTGCCGTCATTTCTGCAAGGGCCAGTTCATGTTGCCTCGTGTATATAATCTTGAGTTCTATGCATGATTATGCATCGCAGCTTGTACGTATTTGGGATCCAGAGAGTCTGGCTTCCATTGGGGAACCAGCGCGATTACATGCTGCGGGTGTGAGATCACTTTCCGCTGCCACTTCATCATCTATGCCATCATCTACGGAAACAATGGTGAACTCAACCATTTGGTTAGTATCAGGAGATGCACAGGGTGAGGTTGTGCTATGGCGCCTTCTGTCGAAATAGTTGAATGTGTAACAAATATTGAAAACATCGACGCTTTCAGTGCGTCTACAAATTAATTCATAAATAAAATACACTTGTATAAACATTTCTCTAGCAATGATAAGAATCTATGACCTTCTGTGATGGCATTCATTTCAAGGTACAGTATAAGGTCCTAAAGAGTAAATTGTTGGGTTTTTTCTCCCATCGAGGCATCGTGGACAATTATCTTTTCTACTGAACTAACAATGATAAGTACATTTTGTGGCACAGCAACCTTCCAGAAAACCTCTTAAGGTGCGGCCAATAAGGAGGTTTGCTCCTCCCGTTTATCGGCATGATCCGAAATAACGGCACTCCTTCGTGCAGAGATAATCTTTGCCATCTCCACCCAAAATGTACCGCAAACACAAATGACAGTTAATACCAACCACTGCCTCAATGGCACAACCTCCAGCTTCAAGTGGCGTCTCAGCAACGCCGATACTGAGCTTGTTGCAGCGAGGCCAACGGCAGCCACAAGCCAAACGCACATTGCAGGATTCGAAAAAAACCCTTTATAATACACTGGTTCCCGAAATGTCCGCAAATTCAAGGCCAATAACACGTGAGCAAGTAGCCAAGCCAGGAAGGCACTGGATTGCGCAGTCTCAGGATGGACGTAAACACCATATGCAAAGCTCACAAGAACGGTGAATATCATGCACAGGGCTGAGACAAGAATGCCCCCAACGATCTCACGGTTGAAGAAACGCTTGGTTGAATCAAGAGGTGGCCTACGCATGATGTCTGTGTCGGCTGGCTCCATCACAAAGGATGTGCTAGCACCCAAGTCCATGAAAAGCTCCAGTACTATGATCTGAATAGCGCTCAGGGGAAAGCTTCACCAGACGGGAGAATGTCTGTCAGTATTAGGCTTCATTCTCCAAAACTTCTCATTAGAAAACTGGTGTATAAAAACAATAAGTATGTTAATTTTCAAGTAAAATTTTGAGTTCAGGCTTCACCTTTTCCACAAAGTTCCGATGATGAAGAGCATTATCAGGCCAATCTTAGCACCCAAATAGAAAGCTAGCGCCTTCCGCAAATTTGCAAGCAACCGCCGCCCCTCTGCGAGCGCAAACGGCACCATTGCGAAATTGTCGTCCACGAATACAATCGAGGCTGCCTCACGCGCCACGTCTGTTCCTTTCCCCATTGCCACTCCCACATCCGCTTTTGCTAAAATCGGAGCGTCATTAAAACCTGGAAATCGTCAAATTTTAAAACGTCGCGATTCAATTCATGAGCATTGAGTCTTATCTCTTGAAAGAGGAAACCAATTTCTAATGTCGCCACAAGCTATTGAGTTCAAGCCATCACACTTCATTATGGTAATGACCAACATACCGTCGCCAGTAGCCATGACGCACTTCCCAGACCCTTGAAGTGTTTCCAGTATAATCAGCTTGTCATTTGGAGTAGTACGGGCAAAGACACACGTCTCTGCAACAAGGTTCTGGATTTCCTCTTCTGCCATGCATTGCAACAGAACATCTGCACAGGAAACACCAGCGACGTCTTCTCTTCCTTCAAAGCCTTCATAGTCAAGGATTCCCGAAGCAGACGCAATAGAAAGTCCAGTCTTAAGATGGTCACCCGTCACCATGATCACCCGAACACCTGCTTGGTGACAAGTCTCCACTGCCTCGGCCACACCTGGCCGCACTGCGTCTTGGAAGGCCATGAATCCAAGGAACGTTGTCCCCTCCATGGCTGTGACGGAGCTTGGATCTCCCCGCGCCTTGTTTGCTACATCCTCTGATCTGTGGGTTACGCTCTGAGCGTACCCAATGAGACGAAGGCCTGCTGATGCGGCGCCCCATATCTGCTCCTCTAGCTGCTGCCGCATATTTTCAACTAATACATACCTTCCGTCTTCTAGTGCATATGTGGAAAGCTCTAGAAGAAGCTCAGGGGCGCCTTTCATGTACGTCACCCGGTGCACACTCGGTACTTCCGAATTAACTCTGTAAAGACAACGAATTAATTTTCAGAGGAATCAAAGCCTACAGCCTTGGAAGTAGAATGATCAGAAAACTAATGTACGGTGACATGCTGTAACTCGCAACAACATTCTCAATCTAACCACTTCAAGATCTTTGAGATTCGTCCTCTAGAAGACTCGTTTTGTGGCAAACCTCAAATAAATACAGCACTGTTTTTAAAATGAACGGTAAGTTTCTACATAAGATGTGTAGGATAATTTCTAGGGAATTAGATAGTAGAGAGGTGCACTGACCTCCTATCCTTGAGCATGCTGAATGTACGAGAGGCAAACTTCAGTGTTGGACAAAACGGGGTCTCATCAGATAAGTTAGCTTCTGCCTTGGCAACTTGCACTGCTTGGAAATGATGCTCAATTTCAGAGTCTTTAGCAACGAGCTCAGGAGCTGAATTTGCCATTTTCAGCCGTGTAACACCAAGCCCTCCTAGTATTGCATGGTCAAAGGCATCCCCACCTACGACAGCTGCAGGGGAAATTCATCACGTAGCAGAATAATTGGTTAGAAATTGCATTTTTAAGTGTTCGACTCTCATAAACTTGATTATGTTTCCGAGTGCTTGACAAACAACAAAATGCAGAAACTAAAAATAGGCACTTTTCTTCAGAAAAAAACGACAAAACTGGACAATTCGACACTTTAACGTGAGGATGAATTTGCGATGCCTACTAGCGGAAGTTTGAGGTGAACTGCTATCAGTGCGTTCAAGTTCCACAGCTCCCGTCAACGGAATCATATCTAAATGAATCTCATCAACGACCTCTTCAGTAGGGAGGACCCCAGGCTCATTCCCTTCAACCATCGCATGCACGACGGCAATCTCATTCTCCTTGTTTTCATTGGCTCCGTCCCCAATCTCTGACATGAAGACCCAAGCCGTAAGTAAAGCTTCAAATCCTGCCGCATCATAGCCCTCTGCAACTCTAGTGGCAACCTCATCCGCAGGCACCAGGCACTCTCCAAAGTGCATCGAATGAAGCCGCAACTTATTCTCCGTGAGAGTGCCAGTCTTATCCGTAATCACCGTGTCCACAAATCCTAGATTTTCCGCTGCTCGAAGGTATTTCACGTACACGTTCTTGCGGGAAAGAGTTTGGCTTCCAACTGCCAACACCGCAGCGATGAGGATAGGAAGCTCCTCGGGAATAGAGGCAAAGGCTAGACTAAGACCTGAGAGAAGAATGTCTTGCCAACGCATATGCTTCACGAAACCGAGCAGTGCACCCACCACGCTAGACACTAATGCTGCAATGCTCAGTACCCATGCGACTTCTTTCAAGCCGATTTGCAGCTTCGTCTTCTTGTCTTTCACTTTGTGTGAGCGCGCAAGGATTTGACCTAAGGTTGTTGCAAGACCTGTTTGGTAGACAATACCAGTGCCCTTGCCCTTTGTCACCAGACTCCCTGCAGTGGCAATGTTAGTCAATTCGAAGAGAGACGCGTTCTCAGGATGAAGAGCGAAAGGGTCTTTCGGCACAGAAATCGATTCGCCCGTCATCTTGGACTCGTCGACCTCAAGAAACTGTGATTGCAGTATTCGGACATCTGCAGGCACCTCCTGTAGATAGAAACCCCTGTTGCAGTGAGGTCAGACTACATAAAAAGCTCACTATACAAAATTTCATGCTCATCAGAAGATGGCGACCACGAAAGTGGGAGCACGGAAAGCGAGGCAACAAAGGAATTACGTACCATGCCAACACTGAGTTGGACGATGTCACCCGGAACCACATCCTTGGCGGCAATCATCTGGAGCTGACCATTGCGTCTGACTGCTGCGTCCCGGGGAGTAGAGAGCTTCAGCGCTGCTAACGCTCGCTTCGCACGCCATTCCGTTCCAACTTCCGCAATGACCAGGAGGAATATAACTATGAAGGCGGTTGCGCCTTCTTCCAAGCCCCCGAACATGACGTACAATCCGCCCACGCATAATAGCAGCAGCTGCAGATGCCAGAAATATTATGAAATTTAAAAAGAATAATATATATATATATATAATAAAAACACAACATTCGGTTACAAAATTGATTCCTCAACCTGTGCCATCAGCAAACCAATTTCGATGCACTTGCACTAAATTCAATGATTGAACTTCCAAGCTCGTGCACCTGAGTAGGCTCGTAAATTTCCTTCACGAAGAATCCAAAGTAATTCGGAAGCAAAGGAGTTTCAATGCGATTCTCTCCGTGCTCACGTAACCTGTCGCAGGCTTCCGTCGTTGATAAACCAAGCGCGGGACGAACTCCAAGCTCTTGACACAACGAACTAGCAGTACGGGACCACGGCGGTGGTTGCACCCAAGTCGTGATCTTCTCGGCATCTTTGTTTATTTTCTCCTTGTACTCTCGCCTCCGCTGCTTCTGCCATACCTTCTCGATCAGCGGAATTGACAACAGCATTCCCATTATACCAAACACAAGCAGCCCCGCGTAAAGATTTGGCACCGACTCAGGGCTGCTACGTCTGGCAATTCCCACCAACCCCACGATGCTGAGCGATGTAGAGGAGATCAAGTAGGCTATGGGCGCCAGCCATGCCTTGCCCATCTTTACCCTAGCGAAGCTCTTCTTCTCTGCTCTGTTCTCGACAGGCTCACATGCCAAGCAACTCAACAAACAACAAAGTACAGAATGCGCCATGCCGTAGATCTAGTAAATGTCACGAGTTCCTCATAGTGGAAGCTCAAAAATTCCAAGTTCTTCAAAAAATTATGTCCTTTCATCACATTGCTTTGCTTCCACATCAAAGCTGGTCCCCCATACTGACCCCAAATCCCAATCTACATATCAAAACCACCCATCACCCTGCTCTAAACCCTCGCAGTCGCACAATCACACCCACAATCCACTCCAAATTCGTCAGACCCCTTTTTAAGTTTCCGCAGCACAGACAGCTTTGAGAATGTCGGGGTGTCAGCGGCTCATGACCAACACCCTCTCGCGACTGAGTACAATGTGCAGAATTCTGAAATCAGAATCAACCACTCATATCCAGCCTGTAAACAGACCGACCCTCGGGCTTTCTCCGCAAAACACACCCAGCCAACCACGAAGGGAAGAAAACTTCAACCACTACCAAGTCCAAGTAGCGAATTTCTACCGAATTCTATACTCTCTACTCACCCTCACCGCGATAAAACCTCAGAAAAACCAGGCAAATCTTAGGAAAATGTGGGCAATTCAGCACATGAGTAACTCAATCGGCAGCCAAGGATGTCCCACCAATGAATGCATCAATCAAGCAGGCCCCGCAGGCTCCGCTGTCCCACGACTGGTTCAAGGGACCCAGGATCTCTCAGAGCCCCACTAACACAGAACGAGATCACGCAACTGATGCAATCCATCGACCATAGCCATCAGCGTTCATTCAAATCCAGCACTCGCTCTCAACTCATCTACCGCTTCTGGTGACAACTCCCCGCGATTTCAACCTCGTGGAAACAGATCCCACGTCGAGCACAGTCATCCACATCCTGGCAGTGAGGATCGGAACCATTCCATTCCACAGTGCCGCGATTTTGGTGGGAGCTTGAATGCGTGTGCGATGGTCCTGGGACTGCAACCGATTGCATCTGTCTTGCGGCCACGGGCTGCGATCGCGACGGTAATGGGTCTGCCCTTGTGCGACGCGGGATCGCGGTGCCGATATCCCCAACTTGCCGCGCCATGCTTACCGCTCCCGTGATCCGCGAATGTCTCCGAGTCCGCTTGACGGGTATCTTCCTTGGGGCAAATGCCAGCGGGTATCTAATTCTGCGTGACACGGCGGGTATTGAGACCTGTGCGGGAGCAACGAGTGGTAGACGGGATGCGGGTATCAATAACCCGGGTATCAACAACTCCGGAACTTGCTTGTCATTACTGAAGCCTAAACTGAGAACCAATTGTAAGTGAGGCTTTGATAATCTAATTTCGGTGCCATTAAGAGGTACCTTATTTTTTTGTCTTCTCTTTTAGTGGGACAAAGAACAACCCAGGTCGTAAATATTTGAAAAACTAGATTTTCTTTTTCTTTTCCTTTCTAGAGAAAGTAAAGTTTATGCTTTGGTGTACTTGATTGTGGGTCGTAATGGAAGGAGCACTTGTGCTGTTCCAAATTTAGATAGTATAGTTTGTATTTAATAGTGTTGCTTTTTCTTTTTAAATGAACGTTTTATTTATATGTGTACATAATCACGTGGCTTCATTTCTTTTTAAAGGTTTTACCCAGTTTTGACATGCATGAGGACTTTGGTTCATGTCAATTTGGATTTTGGTCCAAACTGCTTAAACATCATCCAACATACTCATGGCTCTTTTCGTTAAATAACATAACTCCTGGCTTCCATTATTTAACTTTGTTATGATTGCATGCTTTTATAAAAGAAGTAATTTTTAAATAGATGCTTAAATAAATAAATCAAGCTCATAATTATTTGTATGTTTCAATATTTTGAAGATGTTTCAATATTGATAGAATTAGTCATGCGTTTATTGAAAATATTTTATTTTATCAGGTAACATCAGTTTTGAGTCGTATGTAATGTTGTTTCAAAAAAATTTCTGTAGGTTATATATAAATTAAATTCTGAAAACATTTTTTTTTAAAAAATTGTACTACTTTTATCATGTGGTTATAATATGTACTATACACTTATAGGAATCCTCATATTGTTTTGTGATGATGATAAAGTATCTTTAACATCAAAGTAATATATGAAATTAGTATTGAAATTCAAAAAAACCAATACAATGCATATTTTTTTTATTTAAATCTTTTTTCAAAACCGAATTTAAACTGATTGATTGCTAAAGCTCGAAACAATTTTTTTTTAATAATTGAATCAAATATTAAAAGTACAACTAGTGCTTGGTTTTAAATGATTTTGTGACGTGTGTGTATGTTTACATTCAAAAATAGATACATTTTATATTTTTTGATATTGAAGTAACAATTAAGATTAAAATTTTAATTACCAACATCTTTAATGCATTCTTATTTTTATTTTTAATATCATTTTCATGCATTCTATCTTGTTAAGAAAAGGAAAGAACATTTTTATTGTGAATTTATTTATTTACTTATTATTTTGTATATATTTAAATGTGATACTTTTCATTGAAGCAAAAAAAAAAAACAAAAACAAAAAATTGGATAATAAAAGGTAATCCTCAATTTGATGTAACCAAAATTATTGGAGTTGTATAAAATATATATATATATATATATATATAGGGTTCTAATGCCACCACAACTTATCATTTTTTTATTATAATTAAATTTACTATATATATAGTTTAAAATAAAAATACATTAAAAATATTTACACAAAAAATTGATTGCAATAAAAAAATAATAATGAAATATATTGAATGGTTGGCAAATTGTAGTGGCAATATATATATATATATATATATATATATATATCACACAATTTTTTTTGATTTTTCTATTCCTTTTATTTTTCTTCATGATGAATAAGTGATTGAATGCATACATACATACCTTGCGTCAGTTAAATTTAAACACTTTTCATACTCTGCTTTTTATTTAGCTGTACTATTTGAATCGTATATCATTTATTTGAAGTGTCCAAAAGATCAAGAATTAACATTTATTTCCCACCTTATTTATAGAGCTACCTAAGTCCAACTCACATACTTGCTTTTTCTGCATCATCATTTTTGTTATGTCCTAGAATTTTGATTTGAATAATGTATGTACTCTAATCTGCAGAAAGTTGTATGTAAATATGATAATTAAATATGTAAAATCTGTAAATACACCATTGGTGCATATTCCTATCAATCATTGAATGAATGAAAAAAAATCAATGAAACTAAAAACTTTAGAATAAAGCACACCTAATATTTTAAAATATAAATATTTAAATAAATAAACTATTTTGCAGGTTTGGTATGTCCAACTATAATTGCATAAAGGAATAAAATAATTGAATGATAACTATATTTAAACCATTAGTTTAAATAAATATAAAACTTGAGCAACATAATTGAATACTAATGTCTTTGACATAGTTAAATCATTACACTATGTAACATCTAAACAATTTGAAAATGTCCATGTTTGAATTTAATTTATTAAGCACTTATATCCTATGTGGAACTAAACGAAAATATTTTCTTATATACTAGTTTTTTATTTTAAAAAATATTATACAATATTTCATAAGTGTCTTTGCTTGGCATATCCATAATAAGAAGATATATAGGAAAATGTAAAATTGACCTTGACTTTTATTAAATCAATCCACTTATCAAAACCATCATTATACCTCTCTCATTCTCCATCCCAATTCTCCCCCATCCTTGTTCTTAGCACATATCTTCCATCTCAACATCTCTATCTCTATTTCCAACCTTTGTCTCTCATCTCCACATTTTGTACTTGTTCCCAACCCTCATCCCTTGTCTTGACTTCCATGTCCTTGTTCTTAATTTTCATCATCTATCGTGACTCCTCTCTTTAGACAAGTTACTATCTCATAACTATTCTTCTTTGAGTTCTTATTGTGGTAAAACTATGATTATGTTTAATACATCTATTGATTGATTGATCATTTGTGTGAAGATAATCCAAACAAATAAGCTTGATGTTATACATCATATTTATCAATTGTATCTTTGTTTCACTTTACATGTTTATTGCCTTATTCTTAAAGAAATTATATGGACACAAATAATGACTACAACTTTCTAAGCATTAATTTGTATACCTTTATAAATTTGAAGTCAGAAGACTAGATAATAGGCAAGATGACAAATATGTTGTTCATTCTTCTTTAACAAGCATAACTTCAATTGCTTAAGAATTGGCCAATGTTGGTATTCAAGTGAAATTTGGAAATATTTTTGAGTGCTCTATTTGTATCTTTTTATATTTGGTACTTACAAAGTGATTGCATTATTGATTGTATTGTTGATATGATCTCAAGGCCATGACAAAAGCAATACGCTGGCTTTGTGTTGATGCTTATACTCCAATGCAAATACTTGACCATCCTAAAGCTTTGGATGTGGATAGACCATGTCAAATAAACATGGATGTTTTGACTCAAGTTAAAAGATTTCAATGTTGTGAATGAAGTCAACTTATTCACTTGAGATGGAGGACATGGACTAGGGAGACAACAATGACAACTTGAGATATGGATAGAGAACAAGGATTGAGAATGGAAAAAATGAGAGGGAGAGTTGAGAAAAGATATGGAAGAATGGAGAAAAGGGTTGATAACAAGGATGGGAAATGGGCATTGAGAATGAGGACATAAAGTGGGAATGGGGATAGTAGACAATGGACAATGGTAGTCTAATGATGGTTTTGATAAGTGGACCAATTTAGTATAAGTTGAGATCAATTTAACATATATATATATATATATATATATATATTTGGATGGAACAAGAAGAGACAAAGAAGTCTTTTGATTGGTTGTGAAGAAGTGAACTTAGGAAATACTCAAGGAACATAGGAATATGGAAACTTGAGAATATGGGAATGAAGGAGGATGAATGAACAAGAAAATGGATAGATGTTCCAAAGAGTGCAATGCAAATTTTTGCTTATATATATATATATATATATACATATAACAATGATATAAATAAAATAAATGAATATAAATATAAATATATATATAAAGAGAGAGAGAGAATTGTTAAATTGATCTAAGTATTAATTAATAAATCAATCTACCCATCCTAACCATCATCAAAAAATTCTCTACTGCTAGATCTATATTGGTTAAAAATCAATGAAAAAATGGTTGGATCCACAATCAATGATGATATGTGAGTTAATTTAGTAAATGCATGAGCCAATTAAAAAATTCTCTCTCTATATATATATATATATATATATATTCATACTTACACACAGTGAATCCTCCATCAGATCTTCAAAGAAACAACTACTGCTCAACCATTCCAATGCACGAATGTTCTAGATCTCGGATCTATAACCGTGCTCCTCAGAAGACAGTTGGAGGAACACCACGGACGTGTTGTCGCAGACTGGTAAGCCCCACCACAAGCTCAACCGTAAGCAGACCACAAGCTTAGCCCTAATCAGCGCAGCCTACCGGAAGCTGTGGAGGCGGAGAGCTTACAACCTTGACTTGCGGCATTTCAAGGCTCGTAGGTTTGAGCGGATTCTCTGGGGCGGTCGCTCACTGCACGGGAATGCACGTGGAGGCGGATCCAGCGTTAGCGTCGTGCAGTGTTCCACCAAATTCTTTCGCAATCTCTGCCTTCATGTATCGGTTTATATGCAAGTATCATGCACAGGATTCCGGGGAGAGGTAGTTGCGATTCTCGTCTGCGCAGGTTGTGAACACAGGTGTGTTCGCCATCGGCATCGTTTACACAAATATGCAGTACATTCTTCTGCACCTGGTGGGCATCAGATCCCTTCTCCGCACACAGATTTGCTAGGAGACCTGAACAAGTTGAAGCAGTCTTGGTCGGTTCGTAAAACAAATGATCATCAACGAGCATTCTTCATGATGACCAGCTTAGGATGTGTCGCTGCGCGTCAACATTGACAACCTGTCTAAGAGAATCGATCAACACAAGCACACTGTTGACGGAGTCGAGTTGCAGATGCATTCCCAATCATGGAGGAGCATTTTCGTGTGTGTAAATTACGCGTGAATGTCTATCCACAAATTTAGAGTTTGAACGAATTATGTACGTCCACAAATGAGTGAATTGATTAACCAAGTGATATGGTTTGCAAAAGGTGGAGGCCATTAAGAAGTGTACACTTACTGGATTGAGCTCTATTGTTCAGCGGCTACCTAAATTGCTTGTTATCATGGTTGGACATCATCATTCTCAGCCTTACCTTTTCATCTTTCCTGTTTTGGAGGCTTTTTTGAGACTGTACCAATTCGAAATCATGTGCAAAGCGTTAAGAAGCATTCTTCTTCTTCCAAAATATTATCAACAAGCATTGACATTTTTGTTTGAGCCTACTGCAGAGTGAAGGATTTTATTTGCGACGTCAACACTCCTTTAGTCTGGTCGACTGTACCACCCGCATTCATCCTTTGAATTGTCACCAGGAGCCAACTGATAAGCCCTAGATGATCTGTTGAAGCAAATGACTTAACCTAAATAGAGTTGCATGTACCATAATGTATATGTCCGGGATCCACTACTATGGGACTCGCATGCACAGAAACTACGACCTGATAGATTTTTCAGATTGTAAATTAAAGGATACGCGTTACAGACAATTGGGGTACCGAGATAAACTCGGGAGATAGAACGCTCACATATTGAAATGCCATCAACAGTTCCAGCAAGTGTTTACTGAAACACTTAAAAAGTGGTGCCTGCTGATAATGGAAATATACTTGAATAACAAAGACACGTGGAATCCGTCAATGTTTGAAAATAGCAGCAGGTATACTCTACAGAATGTTAGAGTTCAACTAGGGAGGTCAAAGAGCCGAGTGCGTGTCTAAGGACGGTGCCATGCAAACCAAATGTGTTGCGAAGTTGCTTTGCATGGGCAGCTATCCAGCGTTCGGTGATATCCATGGAGAGATCGTCGAAGTGACTGTTCGTCATGCCTCGAATTTCGTCCAAGACCTTAATGATTCCGGTTTTGGCTGCTTCTTGTTCCTCCTACAAGAAATCAATTCCACATTATTCAATAATTCAATCCTTCCAATATTTGTTTTCAAAAACATCTTAAAGAGAAAATTACTAAGAAAAGGACTAGAACGTAGCAAGCTAAGGATAGTATTAAAAATTATGAGAAGGATTAAAAGCGAAACAACCTATTCCTGGCTATGATTTATATGTAAGAGGGAAGATAAAAGCGCAAACTCAGTGAAAAACAAGGAAGGTACCATTGCAGTCACCACTTCCGCGACAGCTGCCTCGGGAAGCACTCGTCTCTCAAGAGACAATGCACGTATTCTCTGATTCACCGATTTCTTAGCTAAGATCCTAGCTTTCTTCTTTGTGGTAAGCTTCTCTTCCAAACTCAACCCCAACTTTCCAGACCGCATTTCCTTCTTTGTTCGTTTTGGTATGTCGATTGGTGTGATTTGTTCTGTCGCTGAAGTTTTCGCTTTAAGAGTCTTCTTTACGAAGATATCATCATGTGATTTCTTAGAAAGTTTTGTGGGAACTGATAATTTATATGCCCTTTCGAGATAGCTATCTGAAAATGGATATTTCTCTCTTTCCTTGATTTCCTCGAGCAGAACTGCCTCTTTGGCCTTCAAGTCTGCTTTCCGTGTTGTGGACGATTCATTTACGGTCTTAAACTTGGTGCCATCATCGGATATACTCCTCTTAGCACGATCTCGTTTATCCTTCACTTTAGTTCGGAAAACTTCGAAGTCCCGTATGCCCACAGCAAGGACGTAGAGTTGGTGTAAAAGATCTTGACTGCTCAAGGCTCCATCGTAAGTTGCGTTTTCAGGTTCCTCTCTGGAACACATCATACCTCAGGAAACTCATCATCTGCGGGTACAGATGTAATTTTCCGGTCAAGAAAGACTCTACATTTGCAAAAAGAGCTGGGCACCCACTTACTGTCAAAGGCAACACAGACTGGCGCCGTCAGAATGGTTTCCGGTTGAACCAAAAACACGCAAGCATTTTCTCGTCAAGAATCCTGGCAGCTATAATGAAACAATCTAGCGAATGGGACAAAAAGATAGGATTCACCTATACAGGGCTAACCCTGACGTGCCTCTAGGAATAAAAGATTGAACCTACTCTCTTTCATTGAGGTTGGTCATGAAAAGGTCCCTCCGCTGCTCGCACAGCGGAGGCATCTCCAGTATATCCGTATCCTCCTGGGTCATTTCCGTCTGCAGTGACGTTTTACAAATCAGGGGCGTTCTTTTGACATCCCCTACAAAACACAGTAAATAAAAGCCCATGTCACATTATCAAATACCAAGCTAAAAAGCCCCATTCAAATCAATACGACACGAGGCAATAAACTGGCTGCTTAAATTTGCCTATGTTAACCGGTTTGCCTCCATGGTTTCACATACAGAGAACCCTAAACAATTGTCTGATATGAGTGAAAACGCATTTTCAGTAACACGGAAGTGTGACAAGACAACACAATTTCGATTCCATGTCCGATTTCGTCTTCCTACAAATTCGTCATCCCCGATGCCAGCATCAAGATGCGCACGAAAATTTCGAGAGAGAGAACGGCAGAGAGGCGAAGACAGAAGTATACAATTTCTTCATGTTAAGCGCATCGATGCACCAAACTCCACGCTCATGAAGACCCGCAACCAAAAGCACCATCACAATGTTCGAAAGAGGAGGGCAGCCTGGCGAACATAAACCAACAGTTCTCAATGCCATCAATCATGCGAAATCAGCACAGACAAACCGGCACCGAAACGCATGAATACCTTGAAGTGTGGTGACATGAGGCAAGCACTTGAAGCGGTCAAGAATCCTCCACTCGTCGCTCTTCCCTCCGTGCTCCGCCATGTTAACTCACCAACTCCTCGTCCAGCCCAATACTCCTCCTCCTCCTCCTCCTCTAGACCCTGCCCTTCAAATTTCTCCTTCGTCCTCCTGCAATCAACAACTCTTGTGCAGCACAAACTTGGACAAGCTCAACTTCAAGACCTCAAAACCTGAAACTCAAATTCGAAGAGCACTCTGAAAGCTGAATGCATGCGATGCGATGCGATGCGAGGTCGCTGGTGGTCCGAGTCCCAACAACGGCAATTAGCAAGCTGCGTCTGAATCGTCGTGGTAAGGGCCCGTGAGCCATGGAATTAATTGTTCAGGCTGGCGCCAAAAGGGAGCTTTGCCTGTTCGAAGAGCCGAGGCCTTTGTCAGCTGCGGACGCTTCCACTTCAACGGATGAATGAAGTTCTCCGGACAGGTCTTCTGTCCATCTCGCTTTCATTCGTTTGTTCCACGTGTACATCTCGGCCTACTCAGCACCTTGATGCAGCAGTGGCGGGAGTCAGGGTTCACTATTTACTGTGAACTATATCATGTTGCCATTTGGATAATGAATGCTAGTGATCTCCTAAGAAGATTGTTAGATTTCAATCAGAAATTTTTATTTCATTTTATTTTTTTATATTTTATTTCATTTATTTATTTTTTTATTTTCATAAATTTTAATTTTTACATACATACAGACATGCATAGATATAGATATAGATATATATATAACTGATTTGTTTTATTTGAAGAAATTGAATTATTTGCATTGTTAATTAAATAAAAAACTGTGAGTAAAATTTGAAAAAACTTAATTTACTAAAACTTGGTGAAAAGATTCAAGCCTTATTGTGTGTATGTTTTTTTTTATTATTTATTATTTATTTAAGAATGTCATTAACTGTGGTTATTGACTGTTGGATATGGAATTAAATTTATTTTCAAAACAGCATAATTAACATAAATTACCTCTTTGAATGAAAAAAAAAAGTGTCAGTAGAAACATGAATAAATATTTTATAGAGAAAAATAAAGCTCTTTCATATCCATTTTATTTTTTTAAAAAAGGGAGTATGAAAATATAATTGTATAAAAGTGATTTATAGATTTCTTATCTTTACATCCTTAACAAATTGCATTGATATAAATTGCATTGTATTAATTATCATTTATTTCTTAATTTATTAATGTTGATGACTTTTCAAAACTTTGACTATTGAATAAAAATACTAAGAATACATACCTATATATATATATATATATATGGATATATGTTATAAATATAAGAAGAATTTGTCAATAATTCACATTTGAAATCATAATGATTCTACCAAATAATTTTTTAAATCCTATATGTATCTAAGGTATCTTGTAAAAAAAAATTAAATAATAATAATGTTGCATTAATACCTCATATCAAGCTATAAGAATATTCCTTTGTAAAATATAGTTTTTTAAATAAATAAAAACTATAGTCTAAAAAATTTGACATAATACTAAATATTAAATATTTTGAACATCCTTTGCTAAAAGTATTATATTAATCATTAATAAAGCCACACACACAAAACAAAAATTAAGATTTTCAAATCTTTATTTTTGTTTTTCTTGATTGTCATATTCTACTATCCAACTTCATAAGATTGTTTTAGAAGTTAACACTTAGATTTTAATTTAGATGACAATAATTTTTTTCCAAAATGTTCTTCTAAGCACGTCTATCTTGAATTCAAATAACTATGTTGACCTGGACTGTTTTATCATCTTCGCTTTTGTATATTAAAAAATAAAGCCTGTATGTTCATTTATACATTGTCAACATTGTAACCATCTCTAATTGAACTTGTTGTATTTTTCTTAAAAAACATTTTTACAAAGTTCATGTGAATTGCATGAGAGCCTCATTCGAAAGAGCATGCAACTCTTCAGCCAATAGAAGGACTTGCTTATCTCTCAAGTTTAATTTCTAAAGAATTTATCCTTGTCCTTGCTTATTATATAGGTGTATATAAATCACATGCCCTATTCATAATAGAGATATATTTATATTACTAACAATTTTATTTATTTATTTAAAATTAAAATTGTACCAATCTAAAGAATTGTTGTAAGATTAAAAATAATATGTGTAAAATTTAATTATTTTTTGTTATAAAAATAAATAAATTTTTATAAATAGATTACTTATATTAACATATATTTAATTATCTAGTCTAAAAGAAACCACCATGTGAATATTTGCTTAAAGTTAAAGCACTAGTGTACCATGCATCATCATGTTTTTTTTATTTACGTATGCTTTTACAAACATATATATTCTTTTTGTATAAAATTCTAAAAAGCTAGAACAATTATATCTTGTATGTCACATGTAGTTTTATGCAAGTGATTGATTTAATCACCATCAATTCTTACACATTCTTTCATAATTATTTGTTCATAAATAAATAAATATATATATTCAAAATACATTGCCTTCAAAGTGATGAGGAAACTTTATCACTCATCCAATGCAAGCTATTTGAGCAAATATTCTTTTACATAAGTGATATTACCCAGATAAGAGACGTTAATTAATAACGTGGGCAGTAATCCAATTGTGCCTTTGACTGAAGAAATAAGCTGCAACAAGTTGCCCCTTCTTCATAATTCTCAAAGAGAAATCCAAATAACAACATCCACCAAGCTGGATCTTCACAGCAAAAGCGTACATATACAAAGTGTTCAAGGAATTTGTCACAAAAAGAATTTGTCCTGGTCAAAATTGCAGTCAACTATGTGTGTGTAAAGCTCTCCTCAACTAATCGAGCTATCTGTTTGTTTTTTTATGAACTAACTTCCAAAAAAATTCCTAAAGCAGTGATGGAAATATTTGACAATTGGCAATTTACGAAGTGTAGTAGTGTCCACAGCAGTTAGTTTTATTTGCTGGACAAGTGAAGACGCACAAGAGCATGATATGCTCCATTCTCCCGAGCCATCAACTCATCGTGTTTTCCCCGCTCAATAATGGCCCCATCTTTCACCACAGCGATGAGGTCAGCGTTTCGAATAGTGGAGAGACGATGAGCAACAACAATGGTGGTTCGGTTAACCATGATACGGTCAAGAGCCTCCTGTACAACATGTTCAGATTCAGCATCTAGAGCACTCGTAGCCTCATCCAATAGCAGGATTTTGGGGTCCTTCACAATTGCCCTGGCAATGGCCACTCTCTGCTTTTGTCCTCCTGAGAGTTGAACACCACGCTCCCCGACGGTTGTGTTAAATCCTTCAGGTAAGCCCATGATGAATTTGTAGCAGTTAGAGGCTTTGGTAGCAGAGACAAGTTCTGTCTCTGAAACATCGTCTTCTCTTCCATAAACGATGTTGGCTTTTATAGAGGTGTTGAAGAGGACAGGTTCCTGGCTCACAAGCCCGATTTGTTGACGCAGCCACCGGATTTGCAGCTGTTTGATGTCAATACCATCAAGTAGGATCGAGCCGCCATCCAAATCATAGAAACGCTCTAATAGCGAAATCACGGTGCTCTTGCCCGAGCCTGACTCTCCAACGAGTGCTACAGTCTGCACATCATTAAAAAAAAATGAAAAAAAAAAAAAAAAAAAATCAACTGTGAGTACAATCAGTACAGATGCAATCTGGTTTAACGTTTCAAAGGAAATTCAATCTATATCATATCTATTCATGTAATTTCACACCTCGTGGAACTTCTGAATCTACCATTTACATGGATAATTAGTATCGACACAAGTTGCAGGGTTTCGAAGATGATGAACCTTGCCAGCCGGCACAGTGAGACTCAAATCTTTGAATATGGGTATAGTTGGCCTGGAGGGATAAGTGAAGCTAATGTTGCGGAGCTCAATGTCTCCCTTCACTGTCTTCAACGTCGTTCCAGTCTGATCATAGGGATCGATGCGTGATTTCCTATCAAGCAGCTCAAAAACTGAATTTACAGCGAGCTTGGTTTTGGTTAAATCAGGTGTCAAACCTGCAGACTGTGAGACACCTATAGCACTCATGGCGATGGCAAAGAAGACCTTGAAAACATTGGCAAATTTAGTTTTGCCCTGGTCCACCAACTTCGCCCCAAACCAAAATGCGAGAGCGTAGGAGGCAAAGATGACAAAGTTGGAAAAGCCTAAGCCGGTTCCACTGATAAAACCTAGGCGTATTCCACTTTTCAGAGGCTTTTCGCATTTTTTTTCATATAAAGCCACCGTCTTCTGTTCCGCGCAGAAAGATGACACTGTACGAATACTTGAAATTGCATCGTTTGCAATACGGCTTGCATCCTCGTATGCTACCTGAACACATCACGAAGAGTGCTATAAATGAGAAAAACAATGAGTCAAGTAATGTACAATGTGTTGAGAAGATTAAATACTTGCAGCTGGCCACTGAAACCTAATTGCAATGAGTAAAACAGAAACAGAAAATTTCAATTCTAACCTTGGAATCATTGCTAAAGCCTTTCATCATTTTCATCTGAAAGTACCCTTGTGAACCCAGGAGCGGAACCAGGGCAAGGACAACAAGAGAGAGCTCCCAATTGTAGATGAAAGCTATGGTTAGTCCGCAGACGATAGTGCCAATATTTTGAACAATAAGTGAGAGTGTGTCTGCAATCATACTTCTTACAGCTGCTGCATCTGTTGAAAGGCGTGTACCAATTGAGCCACTGCAACCCACAAAAGAAGTGAAAGCTAAGTTTAGAAAACTTGTAAGCTAGGAATTGGTTCATAAGAATGTGCGAGATGAGGCTACATGAATGCAACAAAAAAATAAAAAATCATCAAATGTCAAACAATCACACCTGCTGTTATCGTCCTCATCAAACCACGCCACTTCATTCCTCAAAACCTTCTCAAAGGTCAACCTACGGATGCGACGAATAAGCCGCTGGCCTATCACTCCAAATGTGTAGAATTGTACTGGGACAACGATGAATATACCAATCGCCACAACGAAGTACATGAGCGACCAGAAATTTGCGTCGTGTCTCAGTTTCTTATGATCGGTTATAAAATATATGGAGATCATATTTGATAGCAGAAGTCCAAAGACTGGAAATGTGGTTCCGTTTGCAACTGCGGCAATTGAACCTATGATGAAATGGAGAATCTCGGGTTTACTGAATTTGGCAATTCGGAAGATTGAAATCTCAGCGCGCTTCTGTTTCTTCTTTTGCCCCGCCTCAGCATCGGACTGATCTGATCTAGCACTCTTTCCAACCTGCTCACGGAGACTTCGAGTTGTACTCAATGACTTGCGTGAAAGACTGAGCCGGCGGCTACCTTGTGAGCCTTTACTTAGAGACCTGCTGATAGTCGTAGGGTCGCCCTCTAGATCCAAATTCTCATACATCTCATCGTCTTGCTGCTTGTTAATCTGCTGCAAGCGAATTAGCTGTGAATAAGCTCCATCTTGTCTGGATTGAAGTTCATCATGTGTACCTGCACACTCTCAAAAGTGAAATTGTAAGTGACCACCTCTTTGCATCACCTGGCAAGTACATGATGCCTCTACAAACACAAGTTGAATATCACATCAAACCAGCCACGTGCAACCGACAAAAAGGTCTAAGTCGCCATTTGGCATCGGAAAGTGGACGCTGTTTAACTGAAATGCCAACTTCCTCACCTGTTTCTACAACCACCCCTCGTTGGATGACGGCTATGAGGTTTGCATTACGAATTGTAGTAAGCCGATGTGCAACTACAATTGTAGTGCGACCGACCATGACCTTCTCCAGTGCTTCCTGAACAATATGCTCAGACTCAGCGTCCAAAGCACTTGTTGCTTCATCCAACAACAGAATTCTAGGATTCTTGAGTATTGCTCTCGCGATTGCGATGCGCTGTTTCTGACCCCCTGATAGCTGAATCCCTCGCTCCCCAACTTGGGTCTCATAGCCTTTGGGCATCTTGTTGATGAAAGTGGCTGCATTCGCCAAAGCAGCTGCTTGCTGTACCTCCTCATCTGTGGCAGAATCTTTTGCGTATGCAATATTCTCTTTAATTGAGGTTGCAAACAATACCGGCTCCTGGCTAACAAGACCAATTTGCTGCCTCAGCCACCTCAATTGAAGGGTCTTGATATCGACACCATCCACCAGCACTTGCCCTCCACTGGGATCGTAAAATCTCTCCACAAGACTCACAACTGTGGATTTACCACTGCAACCGACGAAGAGTCATTAAATCAAGTTCAACTTACTGCGCATACATAGAGAAACCAAGATGTATGAAGAAATGAAAAATGCTTAGCAATGATCGACAAGGAGCGGCTTGTAGGAATTCTTCAAGAAGCGGCAAAGAATCTCACCTTCCACTTTCTCCCACTAATGCAACAGTCGTACCGGCAGCAATAGTGAGGTTGAAGTTTTTAAAGATGGGCACATCTGGTCGACTCGGGTAGGTGAAATCAACGTTTCGTAATTCAACGCCACCTCTTACGTTTTCTAAAATTTCACCACTGAGGTCGTATGCATCAATCGCAGGCTTGCGCTTGATAACCTGGAACATTTTGTATGCTGCTGCTTTACCAGCGGCAAAGGCTTGTACACATGGAGATACTTGGCCGAATGAGCTTTTCAAACCACAGAAAGAAGGCAAGCGTCGTCAGAAGTCAAGATATTATACTCTATTAAAGAAGAAGCATGCAGCATCGTAGTTTCTCTTCGACAAGAGTAATCGTTATGGAAGGGAGCAGGTTTTACATTTGAAACTCGTTTCCAGACCAATGAAGAAATACTTTGACAACGAATAACAAATACTTACACGACAGAAGTGCAGGTTGCATGTGCAACCGACAATAATCATTCAAATAGAGAAAGGACAGAAGCCTTAAGATGCTTACCCCCCACCGGTAAGAACAGCGAATACGACACTGATTACGTTCCCTCCAGATAAGCCGTCGTTAGCTACGAGAATGGACCCGTACCACATGGCCAACGCGTAGCTAGCGAACATAACAAAAAGTGCGAGGCCGAGACCCAAACCCGCAGCTATGGATGAATTGATCCCCAACTTTTCAGCCTTGCTAATAGCACGATCATACTCAACCACAGATTTTCTCTCACCATTGTAAGACAACACCTGCACATTACTCCAGAAAAAAATTTAAATAAATGATAGTTAATTCACTACGCGAATGGAGATTAATCCAAAGATATGTATCCGCCTTATGAAGTCCCTAGAGCTGAACCCTTATTATTCCTAAACCCCCATCTCGCAGCCACTTGCTTACTCACCGTTCGAATTGAACTGACCACTTGCTCCACAGTTGAACCAGCATCAGCATATGCTTCCTGACCTGCGCCTGACAGTCGCGACATCACCATTGCCATAATCCCGCCGGAGGCGATTAAAAGAGGTAATGTGGCCAATATTACTAATGTCAATTTCCAGCCTTTGAAAAAGGCGACTACGAATCCAGCGATGAACGTAGCGAACAGCTGCTGGAATTTGCCAATCTGCCATGATAGCCCATTCATTAGGTTGAAAGTTTTGAAGAAAACCCAGAAAGTCACCCACATTCAGGATGGCGTGCACACATCGAAATGAACCTAGAAAACAAGACTAAACATGATAATATAAAACAGAATCCGACCACAAATTTGAAGGCGGTACTTAAAAGATCAGCACTGCCCAGCTACAGGCTTGGCAATAGAAAAAAACATCCGCAATTAACTGTTAATTTCATCATTTCACACTCTTTCTACAGTAAGCAGATGAAATAGTGTTGCCAGAAGGCTAAATGGATCAAAGACCTTGGTACTAGTGCAATACCTTCTCGCCAATTGCATCTTGAATGAGCATAGTATCCCCAGACATCCGAGAAATAACTTCGCCTGTTGTAGCCTCTTGATCAAAAAAAGGAACATCTTGCCTGAGAATCGTCTTGAGATACAGACTCCTGATACGAGCTGCTTGACGCTCTCCAGTTATCATCCAGCAGGAAATTTCTACTCAGGAAGTAAAACATTTAAGAAAATGTGAGTGCTTTAATCGGCTTATCTTAGTATTTGAGAGCACCAGCATTTACTCATTTCTCACGAAAAGGTGGAATAACACTAAAAACTGAAGCAAAAGTTCATCAAATGTCAACGAGAAGACTCACCCAAGTATGATGCAACTGCAGCTCCAATACCGAGGTACACAAACTTTAAAGCTACCTGCACACGTCCAATTAATTCTCCCGGAGTCAAATTTTCAAATCTTCCGGCAGCACCACGGAATTGCCAGCAAAGAGAAAAGGCACGTAATTGCTTGTGCGTATTGACACTGATCGCAATAACCGTAGCTGACTTTCTTTCAATTCTCACAGAAATGCCCAAGATTCACATACGAAAACCGCATACATGTAGCATTCTCTGCACCTTTAGAGTAGAGAAGTGAAAAGAAAAGCGCACCTTGGAGACTTGATCAACCAGCACACTTGTGTCAGTTTGGTTGTTACCAAAAGAATTAACGAGATCGCCGAAGATGATCGTCATGATGGGCAAAGATACACCGTTGGCTAATGCACCGATACTGCCAACGATCATCAGTACGTAATCCAAGGGATCCGCAAACGCAAAAAGCTTCAGGAATGGCACGACCTCGACCTTCTCTTTTTTCTTCTTCTCCACCTTCGTAACATCCTTCGTCTTTTCCATCACGACCTCAGCGGCGTCCAGTGCCGGCGTCTTCTCCTCGCCAAGTGGCACCGCTGGGACTGGCACTGTGATATCCGGTATTGGATGGTCCGCCATGCATAACAGCACCGCGGTCCCACGTCTATCTGCAGCAGCAAAGGGTCCAGCACAAGTGCACATCACTAATCAGAATACTGATCCTGCATCTTCCCGTCTCTAAAATTTCTCAATACCAATCTACTGGACAGTGATCTTTCTTTCTCCTCCTAAATTCATCGATCTCGTTAGTCCCCATCCATGTGCATGCACACGAAATTCAAAAACAACGATTCGCTGCACTTGAATGAGGTCATAATCCCCCCTGAACACTATCGATTCCAACCAAACCGCCTGCCACAATTGAACCACAACAAGCTCTTCATCACAGTGGAACCTACTCTCTTGGATCAGCTGAACACAACTCTCACAAAACGCTCAACCACACAGCTGCATAATGACCTCCCTCCCTCCCGCCCTCCCTCTCTCAACAAGTCAACTTTCCAAAGTCCGAAGCACCGAAGGTCCATCATCGAAACAAATTCGAAGTCACAGAAACCACTCATGGTGGAAAATGTACCATATAAACGGCGGTTGCAAACTAGCGAATCCAATCCTCCCGACGTTAATTTTCCTCCCCTACCCCCCCCAAAAAATCCTCCACCCTTGGTTTTCAAACAAAATCACGAATCCTCGACAGAAAGGGAATGAGGTTTGCGAGACCGATTCTGCTGCTGTAGTCGATCAAAACCGCGAACTACAAATAGGCCACGGGTGCTGCCAATTCGGCAACATCATGGGGTTGTAGCGTAGAATGGCGGTGGGGTACGGCTCAAGGAAAGAAGATGAGTAACGACACTTCAAGGAAATGCTCGGTTCCGATGTAGAGAACTATAGAACGACGACGAAGGAGAATGAAGCACGAAGGACGCAGCAAAACCCAAAAGGATTCTGAATTCCCTGCCGGGTGGCGGGGCCACCGGCTGATACGAATCTCCCACCTCGCCCGGCCCAGCCTGCAATGGCCTTTCCCCAGCCCAAACCAGCACTAAAAGGGTCCAACTGCGTGTTTGTTCCAAACTCGACCCAACACCCGAAAGTGCTGCCCGGACAGTTGAAATTTAAAATAAAAAAAAATGGGTTTCATCACCAAACTACTACTGCTACTATTACACTATGGCTGGGCTGGGCTGGGCTGGGCTGCCCCAGTTGTAGCCCTATTCTGAGCTCTTCTTTGAAACCCATGTTCTCTGCCAATTCCTTAGAAGGAATAAACTCGTCATGCCCTTCATTCTTTCCATTCTCCAGTCCATATACTTTCGGCATGCTGTCGCATGTTCTTGTCCAAAGGCCCGTTCAAACGAATTCACTAATGGATGAGTAAATCTAGGAACCGAATGTGTGGGTGGATGAATGTGTTAACTAACTATCCAACTATTTATATTGTATTTAATTAAGTCGTACCGGCCTTCTGCTTTTTATAGACAGGAAGGTGCTAATTATCCTTTATTTTGTTCGGTGTGGTTCAGTTTGGGGCTGTGCCACTTCATTTTATTTTATTTTATTTTACTTACTTTTTGTTACTTCTGAGAGATGGCTATTTGTACCCAATTACATAGTACAAAAGGATTTTGATTCCTGTGATTATTTTTTAAGTCCCTCTATTTATTCATGTGTTTGTTTGGGCATGTTCTCAAAGGCGACTTTCTTCTTTGGAACACTTACGATCACTATACTCTCATCAAACAAAAAACAAACAAACAAACAATCAAGCAAAATGATGTACAAAATGTTGACAAAGTAATTCAATAAGATTATTGGACAAAATTTCCAGACTATTTTTTTAACCGTTACGTTTGCTGACATAAATATCTTCCAGCTGTAAAGAAACCTAATTACATGCCAAAACTGGTGGTGAAAAGTAACTTGTGAATGGTTCAAATATGAGGTGTAGGACATGGTGAACAATGAAAAGATATATTTTGCCAAGCTAACCACCAAAGCTACACATGAACCAACGCAGTTGCTGTCAAGCACCAAAGACTTGACATGTTGGTCCCCAACAAAGTTGTGACTGCAATAATGGAGACTCATTCACTTTCAGGGATCCAGTCCCCATAATGCCTCAGATTTAATTTACTTGTCTATTCATTTTCACAAATATATGAAGAAAATCTAACACATGTGGTGGACAATGAAATCTCAAGAGGTAACGGAGCTCTCCCTCGCTTGCAAATACCTCATTCGTCCAAGCTTCTCCTTTAAAGCACTATACCAGAAGTACATTTGAAGTGGAACATAAAAATGGATCGTTGATGTGATAAATTTTCTATTTACATTTGCACATTCAACTCGTACTCTATTTAGCAACTATAGTATACAAGCTTCGAAAGCTGGCTTTGAATATCTTCATACCCTCATAACGCCAGATCAATTCATTTTTTTTTCTATTTTTATTATGTTGGTCTTGTCGATTTTCTGGGCAGATGATATCGTATTCTAGACATGTCGATATTCTAGAAGCTGAAAAGTGAAACTAATCTCTAGAAGCCTACCCCTTCACATGATCAGTTATTCTTTTTTCCTTCCTCCTTTCCAACTCAAATGCTTGGCCAGCTTCGCGCATCATGCGTGTGGTCAGCAATAAGATTCGAACCCTCGCCGATTCACGTTGCGAGATTGAAGCGGTTTCACACTGCATCTGCATCAAGGTCAAAAGTTGTTGGTTTACGCCCAGGAGTTTCCAACGGGCAGAGGGGGACGGGCAGAGAGCAGAAGCATGAAGAGAAAATTATATAGGATCAGAGGCAGTTAACATGCATGGATTCCGAGAAGTTGTGAAGGTGGGTTCAGTGAAGTTTCGGCACACATGTTCCCCGGAGATGCTAATCACTTGTAGAGTGGGTCAACATCTCGCCCGAACCCGGCTCGCTTGGAACAGCATCAGTGTGCTCCACGGGCAGCCCGAAAAAAAACTCATTAACTAAAATATAACGTGGTGCCTTGAACACCACGGACAACTAAATCGTTCAATATCGTTAAGACCAGAAGTGACAAAAAGAAGGATACACGAAAAAACAAGGGAATATTGTCTCTTTTTGCAATCACCATGATATCATTCGTTTGCATGTATGCGTATGAACCAGTTAGTGTCACGGAATTAGTATGTATATATATACATATGTTTCTGAATATGTACTTCAGTTGGGTCGACATGGAGGACAAATGAGTATCGTATCAGAAAAAGAAGGTGACATGTATCGATATACGCCAAGCGATGCTGAATGTCAACCTCCGCCGTCCTGTGATCAGGTAGAAGAAGCTTCTTCTCCCCTAAAAGCTGAAAGCTAATATTAGTTAAAATGTAACACAAACAATCTAGAAGTTTTTTATATATAGGCGCTGGATGTACCTTGTAGTGTCTGGAAGCAGTGAATCTAAGAATCAAATGCATTGGCTGGAACCATGATCCTGAGCGCAAGTGGCATAACTGTACAAAGCTTGGGCACCAAGCTTACTGCGGTGACTCGATTTAGTCTGCATTTCCCTGCCTGCCCATGCCCTCCAGATTCCGTCACGTCCTACTTCAGAAGTGAACCAAAAGCTGGTCCAGTTCGGGTCATGGTTGCAGCGAATCCCACGACATGTGTAACATTATGAGCCATCCTCGTTGTCAGGGTCATATGTTCTTTGGGTATATTCTCTTATGTTGCCGATGACCAGATCCGTACGAAGGTCTAGATTCTGCTTGGTTATTGCACTGCAGCCTGTATTCTTAGCACACCTGGTTGCATTCCTCTTTCAGAAAATGATGAAAAATGCGTGGAGGTCGTTGAACAAAATTGAACTCTACAATGTCGTGGAAGGACCGTTGAGTCTCGTTGGGAATACTAAGTCAATGGACGATTACTTGGGGGTGGAAGGTACGGGATAGTCGGTATATTGGCATGCTCGACGTACTGTCATGACAGTCAAGGAGTGATGACCACGCCTGCCATTGTACTGGATTGGGTGCGGACAATTGCTGGTCTTCTGCATTGTATTGATGACAAATTCAACAGACAAGTATTGTCGCCCGCCACAAACCTGCATGGTTACGCTGAAAAACACGGTCCAAGAAATTAAATTCGATTTTCTCGTTTTCTAGAGCTCAATAACATTCCTGTCGAAGACGAATACTCTCCTTGGTTCCTGCCAATTCTTGGGCTTACAATGTGACTTCGCAGTAGATGCTCTAGGTCTCTGTATCTGCACAGAACTCGTTCAAGTGGCTCAACCCATTCTCCACGTCATCGTCTTGTTCGCCTTCCGGGACGGCTTTTCCATGTCCGTCGCATTCTCGTAGATCCCGGGACTTCGATACATTTCGCCATTATCTTATGCTTATTCATTTGAGATTGTAACGAGGGTGAGATCCTTGCGTTCTAGACGTTGCCCTCCCTACCATGTTTGCCATGATTCAAACTCCGATCTCAACCGTAAATACATGGCTTACAAAAGCCATCAAATTCAGTTCACCTCGAGCAAACCCCCTCACTAAAACCATCTCAAAATTCGGACAACCTTCCCAACCCTCAGCTTCAGACTACATTAACAGAATGAAATCTTTGAACTCTGAACTGTAGGCAAGCGAAGTCTCGGTCGTCGAATCCCTTCATCACAGACTGAATAAACTTAATCTTGAAGAATGTCATGAACATAAAAGAACACAAATGTGGCTATCCTTAGCTCAATGTCATGTTAGACCATGTGCTTAGTCGCGAGGATAAGCAGGCGAGAGACACTAGAAAGAAGGGCAGACATCCGTATCACACCAAGGTGCCATTTTATCTGGCAAAGATCCAGTGTAGCATCTACTCAGTTCAGTATTGAAGTATCCACGAATCGAATCAAGCACCATGAAACTGATCTGTTTTTCCTGGTGCGGGTGCATAGAAGAGCATGAAACATTACCTTGTTCCAAGCTTGGATTAATGACTAGTAGCAACTGGTTGCTTAATTGGTTCTAAGTAAAACTGGCCAATCACGTGCAGAGATATTTTGCAAGAAAACACATCCCTAATGTATCAAAGTATGACAACTAGGCGAGTAGAGCGATTGGATAGTAATACAAGTCTAAATTAACTTCCAATGATCACGTGAAGTTGTAGAAAATTACATGTGCAATGATCATAGCATTGCTTGTGTTCATGTCCAGAGGTTTGTTCAAAGTTAGAGATCTAAGATTCCTCGCTTGCCGAAAGGGCTACCGCACTCAGCACTGCATGCAGTTGAAAATTACTTCAAACGGGCACATCTACAATACAGCAAACGCTAGTTTTTCGATGCAGAAGCGCGTGCATATGTTTCGGATGTAGTGGAAATGACTCCCCAGGGGCCAAAACATCTCTAGTAATCACTTGTACCTGAGAAGGAACTGTCTTGGTGATTCTTCATCGTGCATGGTCACTCCAAGAGTCTAAAAATATTTACCCCAGCAACTATGGGAAAATGTCAAGGTTAGGCGCTTGGGTGTGGCGTATGAACTCGATCGATACACCATTGGTATTGGACTTAAATAATTCGGTTCCTGATGTCCTCGAGCTTCTTCACAATTTCACCTGGGGTTCGGTCAAGATCATCGGCAATTTTTTTTTGCAACTCCGATGTAAGCATTGAATACTGCTCACAGAGATCTCCGTCGATTACATCCTGCGACAGCCATGCAAAGAATAAGCCCTATACTGATTATACAGTGTCCATCGGGCCACAAAAACCAAGATCATTATTGCCCATTTTCACTAACCATTTCGCAAGAGATTACTGTAAAAGAGAGCCAAAAATAATGCATGTCCACACAAATCCTGGGGCTTGCGAGGTAGGGGGGCCAATTACCGCCCCTTCCTTGAGAATAGCTCTCTAAAAAAAAACCACCATATTCCGTCGTATTTCCAGCAGCATGCAACCAATTTATCACTATATTTCATAGTTGCAATTAGCATTTTACGAGGTTGAGTGGAAAAGGCTCCTTAGAGGCGGAAGGTAACTAAGCACGTCTTTAACGTCTTTTTGACAAGAGAGAGTCAATGACCCCTCTACTCCACGACAGAACAATTCCTATTTAGAAGAATGGCTGGAAAGGAGCAACAAACCTTGACAGGGAAATATGCAGATCGGAATGCCATATGATCACGACCACACAGAGGTGGGTTTTCTTGTCGCAGGTGCATCTCAAGGTGGGAGAAAAAGTCTACGTCTTCACGAGATGAAAATGGCAACAGAGCTCCCATGCTTCCCATGACAGTGCCGTAAAGCATACTCTCCCCTCCACCTGGAATGAGAGATGCTTTTTGCAAGCTTGTGACTACCTCTCCCACGTGAAATTGAATAATCTCGTCGACCTTGTTTGGTGCACCATTTAATCGTCCTTGCTCCCATTTAATTTTCCCACCGGTAGGGTCATCTTCTATCTCCTCTGAAACATCTTGAGGTAAGCGCATGACATAAACATTTCCAAACTTGTCTGCTCCAGCCATGGTGTCAAAATCAATGTGCAGTGACGCAGTCAACCACCTTGGGCAGCTATCATCCGCAAAAGTGTACAATTGGTTTTCATCGCGTCGATACTTCACATAATGGAATGACTGCGTTAAGAAAAACATTGATCAGAACTAGAGCCAGCTTCCCTCTCAATGACAACACCGCTATTTATTTCTCATTCGTAACTGAACATACTTCCATAGTTTGATAAACGAGTTCAGCTAATTCCTCAAAGAAGGGCTTCCATATTACAGTTGATTGATGCAAAAACTTGAGGAGCAAAAGATTGATAAAAGAAACGTTTGAAAGGGGGTATACGTACCTCTTGAATATCACCCACATATATTCTGTCCCCATAGGTATGAATTGCAATTATTGTGTTGGGGAAATTTTTATTCTCGCACTTACGAAGCAGCTTCCTTTTCCCAAGATCGTATATTCTCAGGACCTGACCTACCCCGACCAAAAGTCGACCTTGAAACTGACACAAAGCAGTAGGAACCCCGTCAACAGGAGTCTTATGCACAAGTTCAAGAACTCTACCCTCTTCCGCAAACCTGTATATGTGTATAAATCCACCGGATGCCTCTTTCCTCGGCATAAACTGTAAATCCTTGGCGGTTCCAACAGCTATGAGGGTCCCTAATTCCTTGTTATCGTGGAAATTAACAGTGCAAATACTGAAGGCTGCTTCATTTTCTTGCAACTCTAGAAGACATGTGGTTGTGCTAGTCTTTGGATCCAATACTCGAATGCACGACACCCACTTGTTCGCTTCTGCTTTTGGATAGCCGTATTGCTCATCGGGAAGAGGGTCTTCACTCTCTTCATCAGCCATTTCTTCATCCTCTCCATCTGCTTTCCCATTTTCGTGGCCGCCTTTACAAAGAAAAAAAGGCAATACGTTTCGAAAGTTCAAAATTACTCTGATAACATTTCTATATGCATTATGTATCCCTACAAAGAATAGATTGCTCGGTAACTAACACTGAAATATGTAACTAAACTTAGGAAATCAAGCACACAAAAAATATATCCAAAATGGAAAGGTTTTCTTCTAAATCTAAGCTTGATACTGCAACTGAGGAAGGGCGAGACATAATCACCCGGAAGTTCCATACCTAGTGGTCTTGTAATGCACAAAAATAGAATCAACAATTCTCTAACAAAAAGAAGCTTAACTGATTGACAGACATCCCTTAGCAACCTTCACCACCATGAATCTTGAATGGAGAGATAGAGAAGTATAAAGCCCTCACCTGTAGCTTCCACTGCTTCCTTTTTATTCGCCTCCCGCTCCTCTGTACTAAAAGCACCTTCATCACTCTCGAGGATGATGAGAGTTTTCTGTTTGGGATGAAGAATGAATTTGCGCGGGGTGTACCGGAGGGGCACAACTGTTTGATTAAATGTCTCGCCGAGTCTCTCAATAGTAAATACGCGAAGAGCATCTCCAGCCACTGCCACGACACCTTCTGCACACTGATCTGAGGAAAACGATGCTGCATATTCCAGGGTTTCATATGACAACGGCGTCAATAAGAAATGCCCCTGATGAATATAACCGAGCCAAGGTCGGCTGGAAAGACATAGCATTGCCCGTCTGCCCCTAACTAAAGCCGAGAAGAGCTTAGGGGCTCGCAGACCTAAAAATCGGGTACGAGTGTCTGAAAGCTGTCCAGTCACCATATCTACCTCTGTCCTAAGCAGTACTCCATTTTGTAAACCCGCATTGAGAAAGACGCTAGCTGGGTGATCTGCGCCATCTTCACCTCCCGTCGAAGCCTGTACTTCAAGGAGAAGTAGCGATTCTGGAGGAGATGAGACTGCTTGCACACTCAAAATCTGCATACAATCATCTGGATCCAGGGACAGGATTCGAATTGTACTGTCATACGAACCAACAGCTAAGAACCGTGACCTTTGACGACCTTCAGGCACAGGCGCAATGTCAAGACAAGCTACATCTCCCGTCATATCCCGCTTCTCAATTTCCATAAGTTGACCTGACATGTCCATCTCAAAATATATAAGCTCTCCCCCACTAAGGGCTATAACGACCTGCATTCGATTGTATCCGACTTTCACGATTGTCTTCTTTCCTGGTGTTTTCCACTCGTTGATACGTCCATCGGACCTGATATGGCGAATACCACTCGGGTGCACCTGCATGAGAGAGTCGTCACCCAGAAGTGAAATTGCTAGGGAAGGAGTCGTGTCCAAGAAGCCACTATCGCTTACTTCCTCTACGGTCTCTCCAATGGAGAGCACCAGTGTAGCATTCACAAACGACACTACGATGTAAGCATCGAACTCATCGTTTGCGTGCTTCTTGACGGTCCACACGGCGCTTGGTACTCCGGGAAGCGGAGACACGGCCATTTCTGTCACTGCAAGGCCAGGACGTAGGATGCGAAGAGATGATCTTGGACCCCTCCCACACAAGGAGAAAATTTGGGGAGTCTCTTCTTCAAAAATGTTTGCCACTTTCATGTCCATAATAGGCATCAGGCTCTCAATGTCATCAATTTGTACCAGATTCTTCAATTTTCTAGGCTGGAAGAACACAGGTTGGTAACCCTCCTCAGTTTCCACAAGAGTAGAAGACGACGACTCCACCTCCGGATCGTCACCGATGCTTTGAAACTGATACAAAGAATGGTTTCCAAACTCCGAAGCGGCGAAAAGAAAACCAGATTTTAGAACGCACATTGCGGATGTCACAGGGATGGTGTCGAAGTACTTAACCTTCAACTCTGTCACTTGATCATCCTTGTCGTAGTCCAAGGTGACCTTGAAAATGTCACCGTATTCGGTTTGCAATAAGAAGAAGAACAGAGCTTTCTGCTTATGAGTAGCAGCAGAAACAATCAATACTCCTCTATTCGGAGGCAGATCCTGCCTTCGTGGAATAACCGCGCGAATATCAGGATGATTTTGATTCTTGTAAATAACAAAATTTTCCGCACAAACGAGCACCCCGCTCGGTCCATCCCCTCCACCAGGTACTGTGACCAACATATTAGCTCCATTATCAATAGGTTCGGTCCATTTCCGAACAACATGGTTCAGCCCTAAATCGAGTTCATAAAACGTCAAGTGCTTTTGCGCTTCATTTGCTGCTTGCCCTGTAGGATCCTGGTCTGCCTCTGAATAATCTAGCTCTATAGCTGCGAAAATAGGGTTATCAAATCCACAATCAACACCTGTGATAGAATAAACAATTGTATGCGATTTGTGAGCCTCCAGGGGGGAGGAAATGGTCAGGCGCGCAGCATTGTCACGATTGAGTACATAAACCAGCTTCTGCTTCTCACAAGCACTGATCATAACAGCACGCCCCTTAGGATCCACTGCTAAATACTGCCCAGGCACGATCCTCCGACACCCCGACTTCCCAAACGTCTCCTGATGAACCTTTTCAAACAGATTCTTCTCTTTGTTATACTCTAGAATCACTATTCGACCCGAGTCCGATCCTACAACAATATAATCTTTCTGCGACCCGGTGAGGCGAAATTGCGTCAGCGACCGAATGGCTCCAAATATTTCCACCGAGAGCATTGTCTGCAGCTTCCCATTATCGTCAGGCCGCAGCAAGTCCAGCACCTTGCCTCTAGCCACCACAATCTCCTGCGTCTTGCCACCCGTGAAGTTGCCATACGTCGCACAAACTATTCCTGTCGCCGACTGCAACGTCAAACTGTACAAATACATTGTTTGATGTTTCTACTACACCACTAACTCAACGGGCTTACTCTACGCTCCTTCGCAAGTCCACGATCAATCTCACTGCTGCACCGCAAACAACCAAAGAAAACTGGCGGTGCCGGAATCCCGCAATCGGCTCACTGATAAACCCTGCTATGGCGAGTCTTGATTGATCAAAAACCCTAGTTGCAGTGCAATCGATCCTCGGCGTAGAAGCAAAGGAAAACCTGTAACCTGCGCAACAGAGGATTCCAGTGCTGCTAACCGACACAATCTGCGCATGCCCTAACAACAACGACAACAACACAGCCTCGATTGTGCGAGACCGACGAAGCAGGAGGAGAAAGACTCACGAGCACGGAAGACACTGGACGCGGGTGTGCGGCTACCTGCGGCTTCTCGCGTCATCTTGCGGTAAATAGCGTCGTATAACGGTACCTTGCGTCGGATCACGGCGTATTACGGCAGATCGCGGCTCTTAGCATCTTCGTAAGTTTCCTCCTTGTTCCTTCTTTTCTTTCCAGCTTGTCATTTCTTCACTGAAAGGAACGTGTGAGTTGAAGCTCATAAGTTGACGTTTCTTCACAAATAAAGGATCTTAGTTTAGATATAGGATTGAGGGTCAAAAAGATTAGGAAAATTTTCAAAACTATCTTGAAATTTTTCAAAATATTAAGAATACTCCCATATTATTAACTAGATGAACCCATATTGTTGTCACGGAAAGTATAACTTAAAATAATTTATATTAATTATTTCAATAAATTATCATATTATTTAAATTATTTCAATAAATAACTTCAATAATTATTGGAATTGAAATAATAGGTCTATTAAAGTAAGTACTTTTAACTGAAAGGATACAAATTGTAACAATTTACTTTGGATTTAAGAATTTCAAATTTTCTTACAATCAATTCAATATACTTTAAGCATTTCATGTTGCAAAAATAAATAAACAAATAAAAGACCATGAACTACTCTACCATATAAGATTCATTTTTTATTTGCAGGCATTGTATTATAGTATATTTGATGCTATAATAAACATATTTATTATGCAATGATGATATGATTATACACTATAAAATATGATTCAATCATCTTTCTAATGCAATTACAAACATAGACATAGCTTTATGTCAAAAAATTTAAGCCTTTAGTTATTCTTTATCACTTATCAATAAGTTTGCCTAATAAATTTCACGGACATATATTTACTATAATTGTAATCTAAGTGATATGAATAGGTAGAAGTAGATAAAAGTAGATTAATTTCATATTATCTTCTAGAAAAGCTTCTTAGAAGCTTCATAGATGTTGCTTTGACTTTACATGTGTTTATACTTTATTGGTAGGTTAAAAACTTGGTCAACAAGTTAATCACATGCTATACATATTGATAGCTTGCGAAACAAGCTAACTATGTGGCACCGACATAGAAAACTTGCCTTGGAAGTTAAAATATGTGTTGTGCAAAGTCAGCACGTTTTTGGAAGTCCTATAGAACGTCGTCACATAACTCCTAGGTAGATAGTATATATAAAGAGGCAAGAGTGAAGCCTTCTTCATTCTTGTCAAGTCCTTTCTTGCTTTTAGTCTAGTTTCAAGGGTCTCTAGTTTTCTTGTCTTTTAGCAATAGTCATTCCAATTTCTTTTTTAATATACATATTTAATTATTTCTATTTTGTCATCTTTCTTTGAAAAAAATCTCACTTATTTATTTATTTTTATCAAGTTTTTGTCCTTGACAGATTGACAAGAGTGCACTTATAATATCAAAGCTTTGTCTAATCTTCATTAAGAGTGAATTATCCCTTTCTCTTGATAAGACATAAGCGTATTAGAAGTTGCAGATTACCTTCTTCTAAACTGATATTGTCTTTAGTATTTTTTTTGTTCTCAAGTCCTCTCTTATATTTGTCTTAAGTAATATTAGACATCTTCTCTTTTCTAAGTGTTATCATGGTAAAACTTACTAAAATGAAGAGTACAATGGCACAAATGCAAGAAAAATTGAGGAAATTAATGCTTGAGATGCATCAATTCAATTCACCACCTGTCACGGCCATAATCATGTAAGCTGATAATTACATATAAAAATAGGTAGAAGTAAGTAAAAGTAAGTAAAAATAAGTTAATTCTATAATATTAAATATGGAAGATTCTTAGAAGCTTCCTAGACGTTGTTTTGACTTCATAGGTGTCTTTAATTGACTTTTTGGATTAAAAACGTAGTCAACAAGTTGGCCATGTGCCACACATGTTGTTAGCTTGAAGATCAAGCTAACTATGTGGCCCACACGTAGAAAAACTTGCCTTGTAAGTTAAGGCATGTGTCCTATAAAGTCAACACAAATTGGAGGTCTTATAGAACGTCGCCACGTAACCCCTAGTTAGATAGTATATATAGAGACAAGAGTGAAGGCTTCTTCACTCTTGTGAACTCCTTTCTTGTTTCTAGTCTAGTTTCAAGGGGCTCTAGTTTTCTTGTCTTTTGGCAATAGCCATTCCAGTTTTTCTTTCAATATATATACTTGTTTATATATATTTTGTTACTTCTCTTTGAGTGAAGGCTCACTTGTCTGAATTATTTTTTCATCGAGTTCTTGTCCTTGACAGATTGACAAGAGTATACCTACAATATCAGAGCTTTGTCTAATCTTGATTAAGAGTGGATTACCGCTTTTTCTTGATAAGATATAAGCATATTAGAAGTTGCGGATTACCCTCTTCTAAACTGATATTGTCTTTAGTATTTTCTTTGTCCACAAGTCCTCTCTTCTACTTGTCTTGAGCGATATTAGACATCTTCTGTCTTCTAATTGATTATCATGGCAGAACTTCTTGAAATGAAGAGTGCAATGGCACAAATACAAGAGCAATTGAGGGAGTTAATGCTTGCAATGCATCAACTCAATTTACCACCACAAAGAGCAACAAGATTGGCAGGAAGTGAAGATATAGAAATGGTTGGAGTTGCTTCAACATCTGCACCAAACTATGTCCTTTCTCTTATGGTGGAATGCCCTTCAAATGTTAAACAACCAAGAATTATCCTACCCGAGAAGTTTGATGGCACTAGATCCAAGTTTCGAGGATTTATCAATCAAGTGCAACTTGTGATTGAACTTCAACCCCAAAGCTATCCAACTCCAAGATCACAAGTTAGATTCATTGGTACGCTTCTTTCAAGTTCAACACTATCGTGGTTTTCATCTTTTCTTGAATGACGAGATCCAATATTGAATAATCTAGAGGCTTTTTGGCGGAGTTTTGATCCATGTATGGAGAACATGATGCAATTCGTGTTGCAACCAATAAGTTCCGTATTTTACGACAAGGCAATCGATCAGTAATGTTATATGCTTCACAATTTTGACAACTTGCAACTGATATCAAGTGGAATGATGCTGCACTTATTAGCCAATTTCTCTACGGATTACAATATGAGGTAAAGAAATTAATGCTCAACTTACCTGATCCTCAAACATTGAGTCAAGCAATTGACTTTGCAGTGAAGTGCGACAATCGCCTTTTTGAATTCCGATTTGAGAACCATACAAATGGACCTCAACGTTACTATAATTCAATGGCAACACCAACACGTCTTCAACACATACATTCGGAAGTAGAGGATATGAAAATTGATGCAGTACGTTTCAAACCTCTTACTGAGCAAGAAAAGACTCGTCATCGTCAAGAAAGATTATGTTTATATTGTGAAGAACCAAAGCACACTGCTCAACATTGTCCAAAGAAACGACGCAATCACTAAATGAGGAGTATGGCCATGAAAGAAGATAATATGTCGGAAAACGAGTTTGTCCAGCTACAATAGGGACCGTGCGGCTGAATGTCACGGCCATAATCATATAAGCTAATAATTACATATAGAAATAGGTAGAAATAAATAAAAGTAGATAAAAGTAAGTTAATTCTATAATATTTAATATAGAAGCTTCCTAAAAACTTCCTAGACACTGCTTTGACTTCATAGGTGTCTTTAATTGACTTTTTGGATTAGAAACGTGGTCAACAAGTTGGCCATGTGCCACACATGTTGTTAGCTTGAAGATCAAGCTAACTATGTGGCCCACACATAGAAAAACTTGCCGTGTAAGTCAAGGCATGTGTCCTACAAAGTCAACACATATTGGAGGTCCTATAGAACGTCGCCACGTAGCCCTTAGTTAGATAGTATATATAGAGACAAGAGTGAAGGCTTCTTCACTCTTGTCAACTCCTTTCTTGCTTCTAGTCCAGGTTCAAGAGTCTTTAGTTTCTTGTCTTGTGGCAATAGCCATTCCAGTTTCCTTTTAATATACCTACTTGTTTATATTTTGACTTATTATATCAAGATAGCCTTTTTGTGTATATTTTCCCTCATCGAGTCTTTGTCCTTGACAGATTGACAAGAGTACATTTACAATATCAGAGCTTTGTTTTTCTTGAGTGAGAGTGGATTACCCCTTTCTCTTGACAAGACATAAGCGTATTAGAAGTTTGCGGATTACCCACTTCTAAACTGATATTGTTCTTAGTATCTTCTTTGTTATCAAGTCTTTCTTTTCTTTTGTCTTGAGCAGTATCAAACAAATTTTTCTTAGTGTCATTATGGCAGAGCTTGTTGAAATGAAGAGTGCAATGGCACAAATGCAAGAGCAAATGAGGGAGTTAATGCTTGCGATGCATCAACTCAATTCACCAACACATGAAAAAACAAGAATAGCAAAAAATGGGGATATAGAGATGATCGGAGCTGCTTCAACATCTACAACAAATCACGTTCCTTCTCCAATTGTACAACACCCTGTAAGCACTAGAGAACCAAGAATTGCCTTACCCTAGAAATTTGATGGTACGAGATCTAAGTTTCGAGGGTTCATCAATCAAGTACAATTGGCAATTGAACTTCAACCGCAAAGCTATCCAACTCCAGGATCACAAGTCAGGTTTATTGGCACTCTACTTTTTGGTTCTGCATTATCATGGTTTTCGTCTTTTCTTGAACAACGAAATCCAATATTGGACAATTTGGAAGCTTTTTTGGCGGAGTTTCGATCTATGTATGGTGAACACGATGCAACTCGTGTTGCAACAAATAAGATCCGAATTCTGCGACAAGAAAATTGCTCAATAACAGTGTATGCTTCACAATTTCGACAACTTGCAATTGACATCAAGAGGGATGATGCTGCACTCATTAGTCAATTTCTTTATGGATTGCAATACGAAGTAAAGAAATTGATGCTCAACTTACCTAATCCCCAAACTTTGAGTCAAGAAATCGATTTTGCGGTAAAATGTGATAATCGACTTTTCAAATTTC